TCTTCTTTCTCTCCAGGTAAGCTCCTTCAGTCCCAAGGCTTAATCATATATATGATTCACACATTTTTATCTTTTTTCCCATTATTTGCCTCTGAGCTCCAGACTGAAATACCACCTGCCTTTTGAACACAACCAACTACCTAGTTTGACAAACTAGAAATCACTTTGATATCTCTCTTCCCTCATCTCCTGCATGCAGCCTGTCAGCAGGTCCTGTTGGCTGTATCTCTAGATAGATCCTCAGTGTTACCACTCCTTCCTCTGTTGCTATCATCCTGGTCCAAACCACCATCATCTCCTACTTAGCCCAGCCCCGCACTGTCCTTTCTTCCCATATAACCAACAAAGTTCTTTCTGAAACAAAGATTGGATCAAACCACTACCTTGTTTAAAACTCGCCAGTGGCTCCTGATTGCACTCATAATAAAATCCAAGTACCTTAAACGCCTGGACGATGAGGCCCCACAGGTTCTGGTTCCTACCATTTCTGATTCCATCCCCTATAACTCCAGAGACACTAGAATTCTCTCCAACTCGCCAAGCTCTTTCCCACTTGTGGTTTTTACAGAGTGTTCTTTCTCCTGGGAACATTCTTCCTCAGTTCAGTTCAGTTCAGTCACCCAGTTGTGTCTGACTCTCTGTGACCCCATGGGCTGCAGCACACCAGGCTTCCCTGTCCATCACCATTTCCTGGAGTTTTCTCAAACTCATGTCCATTGAGTCAGTGATGCCCTCCAACCATCTCATCCTACATTCTTCCTACACACCTTCAAATGTTGGCTCCTGTTTGTTTTGTTTACATGTGAACTTAAGTGTCACTCCGCAGAAGTCTGACTCCCCTCTGTCACTACGTGGTATTTTCTACTTAGCACTTAGTGCTATTACATTTATTTGCCCACACATCCATTGTGACTATAACGTCCTCAATGAAATTCAAGTCCATTAAGGCAGGAATTCTGTCTTCTTCAACACCATATCCCCAGAACTGTAAGATTATCTGGTGCACAATAATGTTCAGTAAATATTTGTTATGTTATTGCAGAATGAGACTGAAGTGATTTTACAAGGACAATTTTAACTGGATACCTAACTTCACCAAAAGAATCCTCTGCTAATTACTAGCTGTGTCACTCTGGACAAGTTCCTTATTCTCTGAGCCACAGTCTACTCCTATGTCAAACGGTACTACTTACCTCATTAGGGCAGGTTCTGAGGATTAAATGAAATATCTGACAACACAGTAAAACACTTGAAAAGGGTGGCTAATCTTCTCAAGGTTTTTCGTATACAGTTGCACATTAGCATTCCAAAGTTTCCAGAGCTTTTTTGAATCTGTAAATGTTTATATACAAAGAGGGTACACCCATGACAGTCCTTGTACTTTTGGTTGAATAAACAAAAGCTCTGTTTTGCTGCCTTTGTGCTTCCTCAGTATCAAGTGAAGCAATGAAGTTTTTATTAAATGGCTTAGCTACAGAGTAACTGTGGAGATCTCTGCAGCTTCATAATCATTAAGCAAAATAAGTTTATCTAAAGCCTCTTAAACTGAACCTGAGAGTTCAAAACACCCTTTATTTTCAGGTAGTCCCCTTGATTCTCTTGTGATTAACAGGACATTTAGTCTTTTCTAAATTTCTGTTTTTGATCCAAGTGTCCTCCCTTCTCCAAGCAGACACTTCTTACTTCTGTAAAGACTTTATAAGCTTTAACAGTAGATGGTGCTATAAATGCACGAAAATAAATTAGTATAGACCACAACAGAACCATCACAGGTTTATTTCGTGACTTATAACAACATAGAAATATGCCTTTTTTTAATACTTTCTATAAAGTTATTGACAATACAAAAATTTTTTTTTCTTTTTTTTCTTTTAATGAAAATGATTTAACTTAGAAATCTATTGTGAAACTTTTGTCTAGTTTTGCAATTCTCAGATATTCCAGTGCAAAAATAGATCCCATTACAGACAGCATAAAGTGCTTGGAATGAAGGGTCAATGATAAAGACAAAGCACAAAAACATGGTTTCATCCTAGGGTATAAGAAGGGAGAACAGAATTCTTAAAACTTACGGAAGTATAAACATTCTATAAAAAGGGATGCAACAATTCTGAAGAGGATTAGAACAATATTTCTATAATACTATATTACTAGTAAATGGTAACAAGAGTAGAAATTAATATCTCAATGTCAAAGTGGTTCAATATAATATGACACATGGCTCTTTGGAAAAAAAATTTTACCTGATATATACAACCACAAGAAGAAAACAGATCCCTTTAGTCAATGATTACTATACAGTGAATGCTGTGCAACATTTAATAGTCACAATGCATATGCCTTCAGTACAGGTATTGAAATACAGTAGTTTGAGGTTTGGTTATTGGTTTTTTAACAATGACCTATGCTGGGTATTTGTGTATAGAGGGCTTTGTTATGGTTTTCTTTTGTATTTTTTCATATTCACAGTTAATAAGGCTTCAGGTATCCAAAAGAAGCAGAAGCAGAAATCTCTGAACACTTAAAAAAAATTTTTTTTTTTGTTAAACTCACATGGTTACATTTCCACAGGGATGATATAGAAATTTTACTTGACTGAGAAGAGAGTTGGTAAAAATCTCTAGTATAATTAGGCTTACCCAGAAAAATTTTAAAGACTGCAATTTGGATATCTAATAACTGTACTAATGCAATAGATGAGTAGCTGTAGATTGTTTCTAGCTTAAGATAGCCTTTAAATCTATACTGAAATGTTGCATTTTTCAACGTAGTTCACAGTATCCTTTGATTTTTTAAAATATGGCCTTGAAGTAGAATAATCAAAAAAAAGGAGCTGCTCATGGTTTTAATACAACACAGATTTAGGACATGATTCTGCTGAAATGGGGAATCTAGCAGAAGCTTGATTTTGGAAAATACTAAACAAGGAGAAACATCATTCCATGAATTTTATATCATTGAAGATAGCATAAAATATGAGTTTAGGCCAATAATTATTGGGAAATTGTCATTATTACTCATTTATCATTTTAGAAAATATTGGCAATAATCTCTAAAGGTCATTTTCTTTCTCCAAGCAACAAGTTGCATGATAACATGCAGTAAATTTTAAAAGAAAAAATGTATATTTGGAATAGATCTGAAATCTTGTACTTTTAGAATTAATATCTAATTTTTTAAAAGGAAAAGACATTAGTAATGATACTAAAAGATCACTTTAACTTCAAACAGTATTTCTCTCATAATTTTGTTGTCTCAAGACAGATAACATTATCTTTAACAAGTGTTTACTGACTAAAAACAATTAAACTGACTTGGAAAAGTCTGAAATAATTTTCATGTGGGAGCATCTGCTGTTTTTTTCCCATGATAGTGACTGAAGAGATAAAAAATTTGAGATTGTCAGAATGGGGTATCTGAGATTTTCAAAGCCAATATTCAAAGGTACTAAATGCCATAAGCACAAGTTTTATGTTATTCAACAAGTTTTGAAGCTAATCGTGTGACCCTTTGACATAAACTTTCTTGCCTTTTGCATTGTTGCTATTTTTAAAAAGTGGGCTGCCCAATATTCTTTCAGTGGGTTCCCACAACCACAACAAAACCTGTATTTGTAAACCAGTTATCTGATGAACATGGCACAGGAAATCTACTGAAACTTAATTTCTCCCCACGCCATCCATCCATACTCACTCAGTTATAACATACACTCAAAGAATACTTGACCAATGCGCTGATACTAAAAGTATGCTTAACGATCTTAAAGATACTTAAATATAATGTTGTCATGAGATCTTGGCCATCATACTGTTTTCAAGTCACTAGGCATTAGTCAGATAATCCACTTGCAAACATACATGAAAAATTAAAGCTAGCGAGCCAGTGTGGCCATACTCCTCTGTGCCACAGGGTTCTACAAAGAGGCCACTCTAAGTTTTCAGAAGTCACTAATAGAACTTACAATTCCAAGTAACATTAAAAGTACAAAGACTGTTCTCAAAATACAACTCCATCTTTTCATATTCTAGATTAATTCAAAAAGCCAGAAATAATACTATGTTCGTGTCAAACAACAAGATCTTGAGATGCACTGTACCGTGTTAGTAGACAAGCAGGACAAATGGACACAGACCTCCCTTGATTCCAAATCCATCATCTCTTTCATCACATGCCATGGCCTCCCCAGCTTGCAGCCCCAACAGTGTGGTTGCTGATTCTTTGCTTCTTACCCGGATCTAAGTATACTTAGAGTCCCAGAAAGATAATCTTGGAGACTCGTGGTTCCAAGCAAGGGACAACAATGAAACCAAGTTTTGCTTTTGCATGTCACCATGCAGTTTGCATGTCACCATCACCAGAGCAGCTCAAAGAGGGAATCAAAGCAGGACTTTCCCCACATGTGGCACCATTTCATCAACTGGTACTTGATGATGTCAACAGACTCTGAGTAGCACAGCTTTCACAAGTGTGCAAGGCATACCATGGTGCTTCAGGCTTTCTGATAAACTTGGCACTAGTAATTCTGGCACACTCATTGCCAGCAGTGGCTATGTCACCGGGAAGCCAGTCTCTTGGCAGGGCACGGCGTAATGAATGAGCATATGCATGCCTTTTGATTTTGAAAAATAATCACTGGCCATGATTACTTGATGAATTGTTGTTGCAACCCCAGTAAGAATACAAAGGAACAAAAAAAAAGTATGTCAAACTCATATGTCCACTGGGTTCCATACTAGAGTTTCACATGAGTATAAGGTAATAAACTAAATTCAAGTCTTTTTCACTTGAGAGCCATATGAGACATAGGCTACAAAGGCACTGCCCTTGTAATGGAATTTTGTTTTCATTGCATTGAATTGCATTGCATTGAATAGTATCAGTACAGTATCCAGTTTACTTCTTCCCACAAAATCTTCTAGCCCTTTCCTTTGGAACACTTCACATGGTGCAAAGGAAGGTCTAGTTCCTTTCTTCCAGTCACCCTATATGGACAAGATTCTTCATACATAACTTTCTTTGACTTTCTCATCCTGCAGGAAAGATGTGAGGACTGCAACATCCACTACTGTCTGGTTTTTGTGTAATGACAGGTCCTTTAAGTGGTCATCATCACTTTGGTCCTTGGCAAAGTTTACAAATACCTGTCAAAATAAAGACGGACCATTATAAACACCTCTAATTTGCTCTCTCTTTATTCAAGTTGCACTTTTCCCCATATGGAAATTAGGTCATATACAAGAATCTGAGACTGAATAAATAGATTAACTAGAAAACTTTGTGTAGGAGGCAGAAAGGAATGATTGAAAAAGCATTAATCATTAAAAAAAGTAAATAACTGCCCTTATATATTGCCCCTCCAATCAACCAACTGCTCAATCATCTATTTATTTTGACTCATTATTTATTTTGACTCATACAGACTTGATTAAAGGGAAGGGGGATGAAAACTAACATTGCTAAATATCTACTAAGTGCCAGGATCTCTTTCGTACCTGATGTCATTTAATTTAAATGGGATACTGCACTTGGCCTAAAACCTGCCTATAGCAGATACTCAATAAATTGCAGTTTTTTATGATTAGTATGACAATTTATTCTCATAATAACCCTATGAAATCAGTAGCATCATCTCCCTTTCCAGATTCAGGGAGGTTAGGTTAAAAGCATAACTAACAGTAGACGATCAGGAGTTCATGCTCCGATAATCTGTACTGTTCTAGGACCCATAATGAAGGGGGAGGAATCCTTACCCTAAAAAGCAAATCTACTTTTGACACTCAAAGCTTACTTGGTCAAGTGTTGTCTGAGAGACAGAGTAGTCTTCTATGTGGAGTCGCTTTTTGCTCTGGGAAAGGATGCTGAAAATCCTGGCCAGGGAAGACAGTGAAGACGGAAGCTGGTACTGCAACATGTTCCGGTGCTTCTCCTTCAGGACGCTTCCTGGAAAGGCGAGTTCAAAGAACTCCTGTACAGGCTTCAGGTCTGGGTTCGACCCTGCTATTCGTACAACTATTGTATAACCATCTCCAAACCTGAAAGCAGGAAAAAGAAAATCCTAAAAGCAGGGAAAAAAAAAATAATCCTGAAAGCAGGAAAAAGAAAATCAACTTAAAGACTCTGGGGAAACTTCTCAAAAGAATATTTAACTCTTGGGTCCTGAAAGAGAAAGTGGTCCCTGCCAGACCAAGAAATAGTTTCAGAGAAAAGGAACCAGTTGTCAAATACTGAATACCTATTCTATTTGAGCTGCCTTGCCAAGTGCTTTAGACATGACTTCATTTAATCCACACTTGGACATCTGAGATATTAAGAGAAACTGCAACCTAGAGAGGTGGTCACTTGCTCATGATACAAAACTCAGTAATGGTAGGGCTGGGGTGTGGACCCAACACCAGTCAAACCAACTGGTGCGTTTGACTCCAAAGTCTATGCTCCAACCTTACTGGCACGTATAAATCTCCCCATTACATCTCTATAACAAAAGCAGAAAGTAGCTATTCATAGAATACTGACTCTCAGAGAGGTTAAATAATTTTCCCAAGTGCATACAACCAGTAAAAAGTAAAGAGAGAATTTGCACGCAGCTCTGTTGGACTTCAAAGTCCTTATTCTTTGCACTATACCATTTTGTTCAGTTTATTTCCCTTTATTTTAGAACCACTATGTATACACTCACAAAAGAATAAATACACAATTTCTCATTATGTGGGATCCCAAGGAAAGTGTCCCTATTACCTATTTTTCAGATGTTGAACACTGCCAAGACACCTGAACCGCCCATTGACCATAATTGCCATCCTAGTGCAAAGAGCTTCACATTCTTCCATACTGTAGGGAAACAGAATGAGGTTTAGTTTGAGAAAAATGCTCCTGTAACCATCAGAACATCACCATGACATCTGGCATTTCAAAGAAACAGATTCTTAGCTTCCTAGAGTATAACTGCTTCCTGCTAGAAATTTCATGAAGATGTAGGGAAAATAATGCTCACTGCCGTGTCGTTTACAGTTGTGAAAAAGCTGAGAACGATCCTAGTGTCTACACAAAAGAGGAATGGTTAAGTAAATTAGGGTATATCCTAATGGAATACTATTCACTAATAGCTATAAGAAATGATGACACATCTAAATTAAACTTACTTGGAATACTGTTCTCATTATTGTTAAGTGAAAAAGAACGTGGTATATATGCCAAAGCTTGCATTTTTGTTTGTAAAAAACATATACACTGTGTACAGATTTGCAGAGGAAAACTCTGCAAAGATATATTGCCCAGTGATAATAATAGTTGTCTCCTGGTGATGTATCAGGTGCCATAATTTCTTTTTCTTTGCCTTTCTGTGTTTTCTGTTTTTACACAGTGATCATATATACTACTTGGAAAACCTAAAAATTATACAACAACGAAGTCAAGCCAACTCTTCACTACAGACCTGTGAGAGGTGAGCACTACTGATCTCCCTTCCTTGATGATACTTAGGGCACAATTCCACAGGAAGCGCCGAGCTTTGGGGTCCATGCCTGTGGTTGGTTCATCCTGTAAACAGAATAAAATAAGTCCTATTATGTGTTGGAAAAAAATCAAAGATAGGTTTGGTCTTAAATGCAGAAGCATTTTAGAAATAGCCTAAGGTTTAACTTACCATTCTGTTTATTTCTTGAAGGATCAAAAAACCAGACCTTACATAAAAGAATATTTCATACTTGTTTATAACCAGTTCACTTTTATAACTGTCACTGAAGTAGAAAACTCAAATTTAATTTTTGTGAAATTAAATTTCTCCAAATAAACAGAAAGAAAAAGGGAAAAGTCATTTAGTTTCAATCATCTTTTCATGACTGACAAGCATATACTAAAAATTATTTTTGTCTGAAATGCTACTGAAGTCAGTTCAAAAATTGAATAATTTTTTTTTTTTTAATTTTAGTTCACTCTGACTTAGCCTGTTATACTCTACTTGCTGGTCTTCAGTTCAGTTCAGTTCAGTCACTCAGTTGTGTCCGACTCTTTGTGACCCCATGGATTGCAGCATGCCAGGCTTCCCTGTCCATCACCAATGCCCAGAGCTTGCTCAAACTCATGTCCATCGAGTCGATGATGTGATGATGCCATCCAAAGATCTTATCCTCTCTCGTCCTCTTCTCCTCCTGTCTTCAATCTTTCCCAGCATCAGGGTATTTTCTAATGAGTCACTTCTTCACATCAAGTGGCCAAAATATTAGAGTTTCAGCTTTAGCATCAGTCCTTCCAATGAATATGCAGGACTGATTTCCTTTACGATTGACTGGTTTGATCTCCTTGCAGTCTAAGCGAGTCTCAAGAATCTTCACCAACACCACAGTTCAAAAGCATCAATTCTTTGGCAATCAGTTTTGTTTATAGTCCAACTCTCACATTCATACATGGCTACTGGAAAAACCATAGCTTTGACTAGACGGACCTTCGTTGACAAAGTAATGTCTCTGCTTTTTAATATGCTCTCCAGGTTAGTCATAGATTTTCTTCCAAGCAGCAAGCATCTTTTAATTTCATGGCTGCAGTCACCACCTGCAGTGATTTTGGAGCCCCCCAAAATAAAGTCTATCAGTGTTTCCATTGTTTCCCCATCTATTTGCCATGAAGTGATGGAATTGGATGCCATGATCTTAGACTTGCTGGTCTTAGAGGAACAAATTCTAAATCTAAACACTCTGGATAACTTTAAAGCCTCAGTCCAAAGCTTCTTCCTGCAATAACCTCAGTGCCCTTCTCCTTTACAGAAGAAAAAGGTCAAGGGCCACTGTTAGTTCCTTACATATGGATAAATGGAAGACAGAAGATCAAACTATGACCCAAAGGCGCTACTTAGGAATCCTGAGGCTATATCAACACTCTCCATCTCCAGAGGATGAACACATGGATGGCATACAGAATGGTCCAGAGCAAGTTACATCCTATACCCAGCCTCAGTAGCACTTGTTGGGATTCTCCATGCCAGAGAAACAAGGTCCCTGGCGTATCTCTCCCTCTGGGACATCTGAGGGCAAGGCAGATATACCCCATGTGTGTTAAGAAGAGGGACAGGGGAGCTTCCCTCTGGTTCTCTGAGGCTATTGCTCATCAGGTGAGGTGGGGCTTGCCGTTGCCGAGCCAGTCATGCACATCCTGGACATCCAGGACTTTAGAATAGAGATGCTTTCCATTCAGGCCAGAACAGGTTTTTCCATGCAGTCACACTCACCAGAAACACCACTGGAGGCCCACCAATCAAAGCCATGGCTGTTGAGAGCTTGCGTTTATTGCCTCCACTGTAGTTCCCAGCATATTTTTCTCCATACTTCACAAGGCCCAGTTTCCGAATCGCCCACTCACCAACCTAAGAGTGATAAAAAAGCTCTTTGACTTTTGCTGGGTTTGGTGATGTTATCACGCTTTCTTACACTTGCATGTGAGAACTCTTTCACTGAGTAGGACCAGATCCTATACGATCATGACCTGGGTAGTGCCCACAGCACAGGGGGCAGCGCTCCCTCTCTACCCTCCAGGGTGAGCCTGATCTCCCATCCCCACCCCACCGCCGCAGCTTCCCACTTCGAAAGTAGCTGCAAAGAGCCAGCACTTCCTGTCGCTGCATCCATAAGGGAGAACAGCCTGAAGCCGATGGCCATGTGTGAAGGTCACAGCCATAAGGTAGGCTGTCAGGATGCCAAAGGAGGCAGGCTGGCTTTCCAGTGCCCACAGTACCTTGCCTACTTCTTTCTCCGGGACTCCTCTCAAAAGGGCAAAGAATTCCACATGTTCTCTTCCAGTCAGCAGCTCTGTGATGGCATCAAACTGAGGGCAATAGCCCATGTTCTGATGCACTTCATGGATGTCTGATAAGATACTGCAAAGGAAAACAGAACTGGTCAGGTTTTTAAGCATTTTGTATTCTGGTCAGACCATCTTGCCTAACATTCTATACAGTGTGTTTGTGCATGATAAACAGACGAGGAGCACACTTGCTTATAGCTTCAAAGAACAGCCTTTCTGCCCTCAGGATGCCAGCCCCTCCTGGAAGTCAGGGTTCCTGCCTCCATCCTGCCCAGTCCTTGCCCCTGGTTCCCCCAACACCTCAATCTGCAGGCTTGGTCCCATTTCAGAATTCCCAAGTCCACCCCAACTGCGGCGCTATCTATATCAACAGTCTTAGTCACGCTATCCAGGGGCTTTAACACGAAGTGTCCATTCCTGACTTGTGGCCCAGTCGTCATACGCACCGTGTGCTCTGTTGCTTCATTTAAGCCAGAAGAGACCCAGCAGTTTGGGTGACCTCCCTCTGCTTTTTGCTGCCTATACACTGACTTGGCCACGGCATGATCCAAACCCCACAGTCCTGCTAAATATTCAACCCCGAAACTCCCCTGGTTTTGAAGGTTTTCATGATGAGAACCTGATGACAACAAAAAATGTAACTACAGACACAATTTTACATATACTGGTGGAGGCAGCTTTAAGGCCCCATGAAGCCAATCTAGGGTTAAGGATCCCTGATGTAGGAGGAAGCTCAGTGTCACATCCAGTCTGATGGCTGCACTTCAGTCACCTCTGGACAGCCATGGGTTCGGCCTCTCAACAGTATTCATTCCTCTCTGCACATCAATTTAGTAGGCCCAGGTCCAGAGTTTTCCAGACGTGTGCTCACAGACCCTGTGCCTAGACCTCACAGCTTCACTGCTCATACCAGTATTCAGAACCAGGCACTGTGATGAACCTTAGTTTGGACCAGTTATTGCTACTATTGCTATATACCCCAGGAGCCTGGTACTAGAAACAAACCTGGGGAAGCATGTATGTAGCCTCAGGCCTGCTATTCTAGAAATTCTGTCCTCTTAAACCTCCTTTACACTGTTACTAAAACAAATGTAAGATGCAGAGAAAAGTCATGAGTACATTAAGTTCCTTGATGTTTTCAATTTTATTCGCTAGCAGCCCTTTGTCCAAATTGTGAGTCATCCCCCATTTGTACATTATGAAATAAATTTAGTGGGTCACAACTAGTATTATTAAAACAGCATGGCAGAGAGTGGAGTAAGAAATATTGAATGCACTACAAGCAGTAAGAATAAGTAGTATTTTACAAAATTATTTAAGCTGTATGCCTGTTTACATGTTTTTGTGCGTTTACTTGACTGAGAGGTAAAATGCATTTGCTACTATGGGACATGATCAAAAAGTTTGAAAGCCACAGATTTGTACCATTTCTCCATAGAAAAAGCCCAGAGAAGTTCCACGTATTTAGAATGCTCGAGGGTTTCACTTTCAAGGTTGCCTAGCAGGATTGTACTGTAGGCATACTGTACTCCTTAAGATCAGACTGCTCAGTGGTCTCTGCATTCTCAAATAACAGCCCAGTGGTGACATTCTTTGTTGGCATACCCTTTAGAGAGGGCAATTTCACAAGTAGATAACCTTTTATCTTGATGAAACAATCAACATGAATACAAGGACATATTTAGTAAAAAACAGAAACAAATATCCAATAAAAAGGATTTGGTGAAATAAATGTCCAACAATAAGGAAATAGTGAAATAAACTACAGGTACATGTACATAGAGGCATTTTATGCAGCAATGTAAAATTCTACATCTTAGAATATGAAACACATTGGGAAATAGTCATCATACAGTCATTAGCAGCAAAAAACTAATTTAAAAATCTAGATCTAATATAATCTCAATTTTATAATATATTTATATGTGAATATAAAACAGACATTTGGGTTGATGGGAATGTTGTAAAATTGTATTGTGATAACAGTTGTACAACTCTGCATATTGCCTAAAAGTCACTGAATTGTACTCTTAAAACAACTAAACTGTGTGGTACATAACTTATACCTGAATAAATCTATTAAAAAAAATAAAGTGAGACTAAAAGGAAATGTAAATAGTTGTTATCTGTAGGTACTGGGATCATGGATTTTTATTTTCTTCTTCACAGTTTACTATATTTCAGCATTTTTAGAAACTATACAGTGCTGTTATATCAACAAAATCACAATATATTCATTTAAATAAAGTTTTTAGAAAATCTTTGTGGCAAAATAGACTTGTTTTCTCACCTATTTTTGTTAAGGAAAGCATCTCCTTTGGTAACAGTGGTATCTCCCGTTAACATCTTAAAAGTTGATGATTTCCCAGCTCCATTAACACCCAGAAGTCCAAAGCACTGAAAATGATTGGGTCAATAATATTAGCAAACTACTAAAAATCTGAATATAAATGACTTACAGTTACCTCAGCTTCATTTTTATATAACATGATCCTAAAATGTCCCTCTTAATGAAGAGTAAAATATTTTCTAGGTTTTCAGAAGTCATATGGATGTTTAATCATACATTTTATAATGGAACCATTTTAAATGTGGATGTATTTGTCAATATTCTTTGAGTTGTTGGGTTAAAGCCAAAGTTAGTGAGTGAAAAACAGTAATGAAAACCAACAAGTCAAATTTCACCATCAAATCTAGCTAAAGGGCATACAAGAATACAAACATAAACAAAGAGAATATCTTTTTTAAAATCTATTTGAATTTCATTATCATCTTGAATGGATCCAAAATCACTTTCTAGATGTACATACTTTTCTTAAATTGTCTGAGATTATCCAAAATTGTTGATACATGGGGCCACTACTTTTGATATATGCGTGCGTGCATGCTTAGTCACTTCATTTGTGTCTGACTCTTTGCGACCCCATGGACCATGGCCCGCCAGGCTCCTCTGTCCATGGGATTCTCCAGGCAAGAATACTGGAGTGGGTTGCCATTTCCTTCTCCATCTGATATATGGGGCCTTCAAACTTTCAATGACTGACTGCTACACATAGATATAAATGGAGTAGCCTTTTAAAATCACTTTTAACTTCTTACAGACATTGTTGTTTGACTGGAGTAGAGACAGTCTGAATTAATAGGGGCAAACGCAATATAGATAAAGTGTCTTTACCTCACCAGGAGGAATGCCAACGCAAATCCTGTCAACAGCAGGTTTCCTCTTTCGTCTGTATACCTGCAAGCAGCAAAATGCACAAAGTCATGAGCTGCAGTGACTCACAGCTGTCCCAGGCAACTGTGGAAGAGGGAATTATGACCTAAACACACCATGAAATTCAACTCATTGATAAGACTAAGTCAGATATTTGATGTGCCAAAGCCTTGGTCTGTCTCTGTGGCAACTGGCTTTTGAATGACCCTGATGCTCAAAATATAAATGAATTTCTTTGTATTTTTTAATCAAATATCAGACTTTAAAAAATATATATTTGTCATTAATATCTACATAATTTTTATTTTATATAAAGACATTGCAGATATTTTAAAAATTAAGTTCTATGGGATAAAAATTTGTTATCAAAACATTGCAAATATTGAACATATTACAAAAAGTGAATTGTTGTGATTCTGGCACGTAGAAAGGGCTGAAACAGATACTCCTCTTAATCAATGGGGATTTACCAGCTTTTTTGAAATTCAAAATCAATCATTTATTTTCCCAACTTCAGCTTTGACCCAATATACAATATTAGTTTTTTTTCTAACTAACACATAAATGTAAACATGAAAAACAAACATACTCAAGAATGAGAATTCACTTTACAATTATTCTCAGTAGGATTTTTTTAATTAGAGAAGTCTCCATGGTGTATTTTAAGTAAAATTAAATTGACAGAAACTTGGTATAGATGCACATTTCAGGAAGCATGCTCCTTTTATTAAGTGAGTCAGCAAAATGCTAGTTTCTAACATAGAAAGCTGAAAAAATTGAAGGCAAGTTGTCTGCCTTCACTGTCTCACCTTAGTCAACTCTTTGATTTCTAAGATGTCATTCTGTCCTCCACCATCAAGAATTCTCTGTCTTTCCCGCCTCACATCTTCATCCTCATCATTCAGAGGAGGAAGCTTTGCCTTTACAGGTCTTAGGAAGAAAATTAAGAAGGAAAAAAAAAAATCAACCTTTCAAGTTATTTTCTAAGTCAAAGACCCAGTTTATACATCAGTCCTATAAAATCCACACTCCAGCACTGTCAGTACTGTTGGTCAGGGGATGCCCACGTTAGGAGAATCAGTTTGATTATCTGCTTTGAGTTCAAGTCAACCCAACCACCAGTGAGTGTTCCCTGTGCTCCCTCCGCCGTGACCCTCAACCAGGTGTTCAGTGAGTTCTGCGTGAAAGCTCACCTGGGCCTGATGAAGAATCGGTACTGGATCAGCACAGTGATGAGGAAGAACACCACCCCTTCCACAGCCATGGCGAAGAGATTTCGTCCCACTAAGTCCCAAGACAGTGGTGAGACAAAGCGATTCTCCCCTGGACACAGTGCAGAGATCCAATCAGAGTGGAGGCACCAGAGATCATAGCCCTTCTTCAAATTTAGGCTCAAATTCACCTATGTTTTGAACCTGGGTCTCCCACATTGCAAGCGGATTCTTTACGAGCTGAGCCACAAGGGAAGCCCAAGAATACTGGAGTGGGTAGCCTATCCCTTCTCCAGCAGATCTTTCCAACCCAGGAATCGAACTAGGGTCTCCTGTATTGCAGGCAGGTTCTTTACCAACTGAGCTACCAGGGAAACCTCTTTCTACAAATACCAATGGTTATCACCCATGATAGGGATCTGGTCATGGCACTCATGGTAAAGAAACCGCCTGCAAATGCAGGAGATGTAAGAGACCCGGGTTCAATCCCTGGGTCAGAAAGATCCCCTGGAGAAGGGCATGGCAACCCACTCCAGTATTCTTGCCTGGAGAATCCCATGAACAGAGGAGCCTTGCGGGCTAGAGTCCATAAGCGTGCAAAGAGTCGAACACAACTGAAGCCACTTAGTATATCACCCATGATAAGGGTGAAAAAATACAGGAGTCACCAGTTTCCAAGTCTGACTTAGGGTAAGGTTTTAGGGAAGCGTACTGCAATGCAGTATCAATCAGAATTTCAGAGTCAACATGTATTAGATCTATAACTTCATCTAAGAAATCTAATGCTTCCTTTTGAATGAGACAGGCCAAAAATTCTTTGTGAAAAGGCAAGCAATCCAGGGTAATTTTTAGGGTCAGTATTTTAACAAATTATTAGCTTCACTAAGAAAGATTAGAAAGCACATTAAAAGATGCTCCTTTCAGTAGCATATAATGTAATCTAGGGGTTTTCCCTGGCAGCTCAGACAGTAAAGAACTGCCTGCAATGCAGAAGACCTGGATTTGCCCCTGGGTTGGGAAGATCCCCTGGAGGACATGGCAACCTACTCCAGTATTCTTGCCTAGAGAATCGCCATGGACAGAGGAGCCTGGTGGGCTCCTGTCCATAGGGTTGCAAAGAGACAGACAGGACTGAGAGCACAGCACAATGTAATCTAGTAACTCAATTCACTTCATTTTATATAAATATTCCTTAAATTCCTTATATATCTCTTTTGTACCTCCAAGCTTAAAAAAAATAGTTCCTCTTCTATGCCCATTAAATAACATGGCCCATCTAACTATATGAGCAAGTCGATAAAGAATAGTAATGTGGGCACAGGAGAGATATTTTTAAAGACTCTAAAGGTAGAAAGAGCTGCAGTAAATTACCTTTTTATAGACAGTATAAAAGGTAGTATATGACCCCATCTGCAGGTCCATGATTTTCCTAATAGAGCCAAAGTTTGCATCTTGCCTTTCGATTCTCTGGCCTGTATCTAATTCTCAAAGCTGCGGTTTGATTTTTCCAATGACTTTGACAACCCCCACCAGTGGTACCAGGCACTGGGTCCAAGCTAAAACCAGTATTTTCCCTACCTCCAAAACCATGTTCTCACCTTTCACACAAGTGAAGGCAAGACCCAAGCCACAACCAACTGTGCTGACATGAGCCCTATCAGTGGAGGGAAGTCCTAGGCCCAGTCACCAGCCTTTTTCCAAAATAAAGGCCAAAGTATCAAGACCCATGCAAACTCCCATCTCTGTTAAAACATCCTGTAGCCACTGCTGTCACTCACCAAACCTTTCCAAGGCATCAGCCATCGCCTGGTTTTTCACCATGTCAATGAGCCCCCGTCCCAGGCAAAAATGTGGGAAGATCAAGAACACTGACTTCAGGATATCATTGATGTTATTCAGCTTCTAAAAAAATAAGAGAGAGACTGTAGGTCTTTTGTGACTCAGGCTAAAAATTTACCAAAGTCTAAAATATGAGAGTGAAGAAAAAGTTTGATTCCTTGAGGTCAAACTGAATCTTTGAGTCAGATACCAATAAATAGTAGCAGCCATAGCTAATGATATATAATATAGGAAAATTTTTGCTCTTTGGAAAATTTGGAATAATGCTACGAGTATGGGAGGAAAATAAGCAAAGTTTAGAAATATGATTGCTTTTAATCAAAAGCAAATCCAACACAAAACATTTGCTTAGCATTTTAAAAGCAAGTTGCTCATGTCTGGGTCAATATATTTCAGTTTGAGGATTTTGTTGGAATTTAAATAATTCTTCTCAAATACATCAATCTAGCAGTGGCCAAATACTTAACAACTAAGTAAGCTGCTAAGTGCTGGATGCACTGGGCTAGGGTATAGGAGAGATAAAGATGAATAAGAAACAGTCTCTACTCTGAGGAAAAGACATATGGAAACAGGAAATTACTGCATAATTGGATGTGTTGTCCTGGAGGCATGAACTATGTGAGCTTTGAGGCACAGAGAAGCGAGAGAGAGAGATATGGCAGGTAAGCAAAACTTCATGTTCAAGCTTAGTTTTGACAAAGGAATCACAGAACTGGGTGGTAGCTCACATTGTTGGTGAAGAGCTCCAACAAGAGAGTGGCCACACTGCCACTGACACTGAAGAAGAGGTTAACACTGGTGAGGACCATGTGGGCTGGGCTGGGGATCCTGAAGCAGGCCGATGGGACGACGGAGGGTTTAAAGAACCATTCAGTCGAAGCCTACCATGTTAGGGAACGGCATGGTGGGGACTATCCAGTAAGGATGATATGCCTCTGAAAGGCCTTGTGGGTTAAGTTAAGGTGTATGGACAAAAGCAATGACAACAGGAGTGGACAGGAAACCTTGTTTGAGAGATCTGTAGTTGAAGGAACCGGCAAGGTCACCAACTGAATGTGGGAGACATAAGCAAAAGCAAAGCATATAAATAACTCTAATACTGCCAGCTGGGGTGACTGGGGGTGGGGGGATGGTAATGCCATCCAGTGTGACAGGAATGGCAAGAGAAATACTGGGTTCTGAAGGGAAGATGACTGGGATGTGACCAGTCTAGGGTATCTTTTGGTTAATCTAAACGGAGCCACCCACTGGGCAAGTGAGACTGGGGGGCAAGAGTTCAATGGAAGTGTCAGGGCTTAAGGCACAGATCTGAGAGAGAACAATGTGAGACATTGAGAGGCTGTGGTAGAAGCTTCCAGAATGAATGGCATCACCCAGAGACAGTACTTACAGTGGAAAACAAAATGGCAGAGGACCAAATATTGGAGAAGGCAACATTTAAACAGCAAGGAGTATAAAAGAAATTGTCAACAGAAACAGAAAGATTTGATCAGAGACATATAAGGAAAAGGAGAAGCAAGAGATGCTATGCAAACCCAGGAAAGACAGACTGCAGTAGTTCAGACTGGTCCAGGCGGTCCACACCACAGGCCAAGTAGAATACAATCATAATAAACACTATCCTCTGGCTCCAGAAATGGTCATCCCAGCATCTCTTTCCACAGAACTCACATTGTTGGTGAAGAGCTCCAGCACAAACGTGGCCACACTGCCATTGATGCCGATGAAGAGGTTCACGCTGGTGAGGACCACGTAGGCTGTGCTGGGGATCTTGAACACGAAGGAGGCTGGGTACATGAGAGGCGTGATGGACCACCTGGTGAGGCACAAAGACATATGTCCGCTGAGTCCTCCGCTTTCTTTCGGACACTGGATTCCATACGCCCCATCCAGAGGTGCCTTACCCATACAGCAAAAGCAGAAGAGCGAGCACAGGCAGGTTGGTAGAGGACACATAGGACTTCTGCTGGAAGCAGATGAAGATGATAATGACCAGCGTGGCAGGAACCACGTAGTTGCACTAAAAGTGAAACAAGGAAAGCAAGGTCACCCCCAAGTCAAAGACATCTCAGGTCGTCACCATCACTGGACAAGAAAGGGCAGATAAACATATTAAAGAATAACTCTGAATTAATGAAGCCACAAAAACTATTAATCAAAATACTGGACAGTACATTTTGACAAGCTTTTTACCCCCGGCTGATTTTATAAACTGCATGTCCTTTCTGTCTTTCCAACAGATAAGCCACGGTGTCACGCTCAGTAAACTTACTGAAGGATGGATTCCCAGTCAGAGTAATTTCAATTTCACAGGCAGCAAGTAAGCTGCTATTACTCTCCCCGAAGATGACTGTGTCTGTTTCATCATTAATGCTATATTACAGTCTGCCCAAGTTCAAGCTCTCTTGTAATCTATTTATGAGGTAAGCACTTATAACATCAATGTCAGGACAGTTTCATCACACCAAGGCTAATTTCAAAGTCTGTCCTGACAGTGTCTCAAGCATTAAAATGCAGAAATAAAGACTTGACCACAAGACAATTACGGGAATTCACAGCTGGCAGAGCGGAGCACAGGCAGGGAGGTAGCAGTGGGCTTGCCAGCTGTTAGAAGAATTTGTAGCTTCAGACTGCAGGGCTCTGTGCCTCAGCCCCATCCTACTCAACTGTGTTTTTCAACAACTTAGATGAAGACACGCTTACAGCAAATTTCAGAGGTTCTAGAACAGGGAGAGATGGATAATATACAAGAAGATAACAGTGTTCCTGAGTCATGGACTTGATCTTTCATCTCTGAATCTATGATGCCTGGCAGAGTTGGATACATAGTGAGCAGTCCGTCTGTATGTGCTTACTTAATAAAGCAATTATTGGATTAAGACAAAAAACAAAACAAATGGACATCCCATAAAATTCAGTTTAACAGGGATAAAGTTTTATATGTGCTTTAAACAACCTTTATGTTTATAAATAAATCTATATAAAAAGGTTGAAAAAAGTCAACTGCATTAGTAAACAGTGAAACCCCATTTAACAATACCTATGAAGCAGAGGTTTCAGTTCTCTACAAGTTGCCAATAAGAACGCGCTACTTCCAAAATGCAGTACCCTTGGGCTGAGGAAGAGGAGTACAGGATAAAGATCAATTGCCTCTAGACCCATCGGCTTTGCTCTTCAAAGAGCACATTAACAATATGGAGTATGGGCCACAGAGAGGCAATCAGGTCAGAACAGTGACAAGTCTGAGAGGCTTGCTATAACCCACACAGACATCATCATCATCACTCACATTTCTACCGTGCTTTAGAGATTACAAAGTGTGTTCTCGTATATCATCTTATCTGAGGAAGATTTAGGTTAAATAAGAGGTGTCCTCAAATATTTGAGGGTATATCCAATGGGAGAAGAATTAAATTCTCTGTGTGGCCTACAATTAATGGAACTCATAGGGAGATATATTTCAACTCTGCTTTATAAAAATGATTTGAACTTCAGAATTCTTTGACATCCTCCATATTGGTTCAAACAGAAGCATTATACTACAGCTGACATGAAAACAGATTTGCAATGGATGGATAAGCTTCCAGTAAAATGTAAGATGTTTTCAAATGATAGATTGAGTTCCTAGTAAGACAAAGAATATCCTGACTTTGGAGGTTAAAAATCTATCAGACAAGTTCGAGGCACTGACTTTAGAGGCACTGACTTAGAGTTCTGACTGACAGTGTTCCATCTCAGTTTCTTTAAAAGGTTGTCACTTAGGGAATGAGGTGGTGATGGTATCAGCTGCAGTCCCTTTGGACAGATTTTCTCTGGTATAAGATCAGCAGGGTGCTAAAGGTCATGTTTGGTGACATGAAAGTGTACAATTGTGCCTGCCTTATCCTCTTTCATTCATCTTTGATTAGCTAGAACATTTCCTGGTGAAGGCCAGAAGCCCTTTCATCCATTCAATCTAGAGCCCTGATGGAGGTTTTTGAAACAGCAGCAGATGGGTGTTCTTACCATGTCCCAGACAAAATTGGAGAGCCAGTAGATGACAGGCTTCACTCCACTGATGAACTGCAGGTGCTTTGCTTTGCTGACGCGCTCTTGGATCAGGAACACGACAAAGCTGGCCGGGACGAAGGACATCGCAAAGATGACACAGATAGACACAAGGACGTCCACTGATGTGGTCATCCTGAAAAAGACAGTGCAGCTGAGGGCACAATCAGAGCATACACACACACACACACATGAATATCTGAAGCATATCCCAGGGAAAAAGATCTGTTCACCACATATATTTTATTCAGAGTTAAAGATGATTAGTTCCAAGCCAAAAAAAAAAAAAAAAAGTCTTGATAATTCACATGCAAAACTACTTCTACTGAGGTCAAAAAGAGTCCACAGCCAAAATGAAACTATTAAAGGAAGTCTAAGAGTGGCCTAATAGCATTCACTTTGTTCTACTATTCTTGACCTTTTATGAGCAACAAGCTATAAATTTTCACACATAAGGGAATAGTGTAGCTTGAAAACTAAATAAAGCAGAAATATTAGTGTGAAACTATTCAAACAACAATTTCTGGCTGTAAATGAGTTTGACAACAAAAGAGCATGGCATATCAATCTAACACAAAAATTCCATCAGATCCTTATTATAAGAAAAATAGCCTTATAAACCCATTAAATGGGATATAATATAAATTATTTCTTTATATAAATTCTATATAAGCTTGCTATAAATATCCTAGTGACATACATTGATATTCCATACAAGTGAAGCAGAAACTATAACTGTGCCATACTCCATAAACAAGAAAAGAACCTAACATGTATTGACTATCAACCTTGTGCTGAAGGCCGGACTTGTCCATTTACATGAAATGCCTCACTTAGTACCATATATCTAGAAAGTTTAAAAAACCAGATTTAAACCCAGATCTCTATGATTTCAAAGGCTATACACTCTGAACTAGATCATACTGGCCTTAACTCCATACACACATACACACACATACACACACACACACTGTCTCTCTCTCCCTCTCCAGGAATTAATAAACACACAAGCTGATAAAAGTGTGTTTCACTAAGTTTAAAAATAGTTGTTTCAAAACAAATGAAATTGAATTTTTAATAATTTTTTTCCTGTAATTGAGATCTAGTCTTACTGCACTGTGGTCAGAAAAGATGACTGGAATGATTTCAATCTTTTTGAATTTACCAAGACTAGATTTATGGCCCAGGATGCGATCTATTCTGGAGAAGGTTCCGTGTGCACTTGAGAAAAAGGTGAAGTTGATTGTTTTGGGGTGAAACGTCCTATAGATGTCAATTAGGTCTAACTGGTCCATTGTGTCCTTTAAAGTTTGTGCTTCCTTATTCACTTTCTGTTTAGTTGATCTATCCATAGTTGTGAGTGGGGTATTAAAGTCTCCTACTATTATTGTGTTACTATTAATTTCCTCTTTCATACTCGTTAGCGTTTGCCTTACATATTGTGGTGCTCCTATGTTGGGTGCATATATATTTATAATTGTTATATCTTCTTCTTGGATTGATCCTTTGATCATTATGTAGTGTCCATCTTTGTCTCTTTTCACAGCCTTTATTTGAAAGTCTATTTTATCTGATATGAGTATTGCGACTCCTGCTTTCTTTTGGTCTCCGTTTGCGTGGAATATTTTTTTCCAGCCCTTCACTTTTAGTCTGTATGTGTCCCTTGCTTTGAGGTGGGTCTCTTGTAGACAGCATATATAGGGGTCTTGCTTTTGTATCCATTCAGCCAGCCTTTGTCTTTTGGTTGGGGCATTCAACCCATTTACATTTAAGGTAATTATTGATAGGTATGGTCCCGTTGCCATTTATTTTGTTGTTTGGGGTTCATGTTTATACCACCTTTCTGTGTTTCCTGTCTAGAGAAGATCCTTTAGTATTTGTTGAAGAGCTGGTTTGGTGGTGCTGAATTCTCTCAGCTTTTTCTTGTCTGTAAAGCTTTTGAGTTCTCCTTCATATCTGAATGAGATCCTTGCTGGGTACAGTAATCTAGGTTGTAGGTTATTCTCTTTTATTACTCTAAGTATGTCCTGCCATTCCCTTCTGGCCTGAAGGGTTTCTATTGATAGATCAGCTGTTATCCTTATGGGAATCCCTTTGTGTGTTATTTGTTGTTTCTCCCTTGCTGCTTTTAATATTTGTTCTTTGTGTTTGATCTTTGTTAATTTGATTAATATGTGTCTTGGGGTGTTTCACCTTGGGTTTATCCTGTTTGGGACTCTCTGGGTTTCTTGGACTTGGGTGGCTATTTCCTTCCCCATTTTAGGGAAGTTTTCAGCTATTATCTCCTCGAGTATCTTCTCATGGCCTTTCTTTTTGTCTTCTTCTTCTGGGACTCCTATGATTCGAATGTTGGGGCGTTTCACATTGTCCCAGAGGTCCCTGAGGTTGTCCTCATTTCTTTTGATTCTTTTTTCTTTTTTCCTCTCTGCTTCATTTATTTCCACCATTTTATCTTCTAACTCACTTATCCTATCTTCTGTCTCTGTTATTCTACTCATGGTTCCCTCCAGAGTGTTTTTGATCTCATTTATTTCATTATTAATTTTTAATTGACTTTTTTTTATTTCTTCTAGGTCCTTGTTAAACATTTCTTGCATCTTCTCAATCTTTGTCTCCAGGCTATTTATTTGTAACTCCATTTTGTTTTCAAGATTTTGGATCATTTTTATTATCATTATTCTAAATTCTTTTTCAGGTAGATTCCCTATTTCCTCCTTTTTTGTTTGACTTGGTGGGCTTTTTTCATGTTCCTTTAGCTGTTGGGTATTTCTCTGCCTTTTCATCTTGTTTAGATTGCTGTGTCTGGAGTGGGCTTTCTGTATTCTTGTGGTCTGAGGTTTCTTTTTATTGTGGAGGTTTCACCCAGTGGGTGGGGTTGGACGATATGGAGGCTAAACAACACACTTCTGAATAACCAACAAATCATAGAAGAAATCAAAATATGCCTAGAAATGAATGAAAATGAAAACACAACAACCCAAAACCTATGGGACACTGTAAAAGCAGTGCTAAAGGGAAGATTCATAGCATTACAGGCCTACCTCAAGAAACAAGAAAAAAGTCAAATAAATAACCTAACTCTACACCTAAAGCAACTAGAGGAGGAAGAAATGAAGAACCCCAGGGTTAGTAGAAGGAAAGAAATCTTAAAAATTAGGGCAGAAAGAAATGCAAAAGAAACTAAAGATATCATAGCAAAAATTAACAAAGCTAAAAGCTGGTTTTTTGAAAAAATAAACAAAATTGACAAACCATTAGCAAGACTCATTAAGAAACAAAGGGAGAAGAACCAAATTAACAAAATTAGAAACGAAAATGGAGAGATCACAACAGACAACACTGAAATACAAAGGATCATAAGAGACTACTACCAGCAGCTCTATGCCAATAAAATGGACAACTTGGAAGAAATGGACAAGTTCTTAGAGAAGTATAACTTTCCAAAATTGAACCAGGAAGAAATAGAAGATCTTAACAAACCCATCACAAGCAAGGAAATCAAAACTGTAATCAGAAATCTTCCAGCAAACAAAAGCCCAGGACCAGATGGCTTCACAGCTGAATTCTACCAAAAATTTAGAGAAGAGCTAACACCTATCTTACTCAAACTCTTTCAGAAAATTGCAGAAGAAGGTAAACTTCCAAACTCATTCTATGAGGCCACCATCACCCTAATTCCAAAACCAGACAAAGATGCCGCAAAAAAAGAAAACTACAGGCCAATATCACTGATGAACATAGATGCAAAAATCCTTAACAAAATTCTAGCAAACAGAATCCAACAACATATTAAAAAAATCATACATCATGACCAAGTGGGCTTTATCCCAGGAATGCAAGGATTCTTTAATATCCGCAAATCAATCAATGTAATACACCACATTAACAAATTGAAAGATAAAAACCATATGATTATCTCAATAGATGCAGAAAAAGCCTTTGACAAAATTCAACATCCATTTATGATTAAAACTCTCCAGAAAGCAGGAATAGAAGGAACATACCTCAACATAATAAAAGCTATATATGACAAACCCACAGCAAGCATCACCCTCAATGGTGAAAAATTGAAAGCATTTCCCCTGAAATCAGGAACAAGACAAGGGTGCCCAATCTCACCACTACTATTCAACATAGTTTTGGAAGTGTTGGCCACAGCAATCAGGGCAGAAAAAGAAGTAAAAGGAATCCAGATAGGAAAAGAAGAAGTGAAACTCTTGCTCTTTGCAGATGACATGATCCTCTACAGAGAAAACCCTAAGACTCTACCAGAAAATTACTAGAGCTAATCAACGAATACAGTAAAGTTGCAGGATATAAAATTAACACACAGAAATCTCTTGCATTCCTATACACTAACAATGAGAAAACAGAAAGATAAATTAAGGAAACAATACCATTCACCATTGCAACAAAAAGAATAAAATACTTAGGAGTATATCTACCTAAAGAAACAAAAGACCTATACATAGAAAACTATAAAACACTGATGAAAGAAATTAAAGAGGACACAAACAGATGGAGAAATATACCGTGTTCATGGATTGGAAGAATCAATATTGTCAAAATGGCTATACTACCCAAAGCAATCTATAGATTCAATGCAATCCCTATCAAGCTACCAACAGTATTTTTCACAGAACTAGAACAAATAATTTCACAATTTGTATGGAAATACAAAAAACCTCGAATAGCCAAAGTAATCCTGAGAAAGAAGAATGGAACTGGAGGAATCAATCTGCCTGACTTCAGACTATACTACAAAGCCACAGTCATCAAGACAGTATGGTACTGGCACAAAGACAGAAATATAGATCAATGGAACAGAATAGAAAGCCCAGAGATAAATCCACGAACCTATGGTCACCTTATCTTTGACAAAGGAGGCAAGGATATGCAATGGAAAAAAGACAACCTCTTTAACAAGTGGTGCTGGGAAAACTGGTCAACCACCTGTAAAAGAATGAAACTAGAACACTTTCTAACACCATACACAAAAATAAACTCAAAATGGCTTAAAGATCTAAATGTAAGACCAGAAACTATAAAACTCCTAGAGGAGAACATAGGCAAAACACTCTCCGACATAAATCACAGCAGGATCCTCTATGACCCACATCCCAGAATTTTAGAAATAAAAGCAAAAATAAACAAATGGGACCTAATGAAACTTAAAAGCTTTTGCACAACAAAGGAAACTATAAGCAAGGTGAAAAGACAGCCCTCAGATTGGGAGAAAATAATGGCAAACGAAGCAACAGACAAAGGATTAATCTCAAAAATATACAAGCAACTCCTCCAGCTCAACTCCAGAAAAATAAATGACCCAATCAAAAAATGGGCCAAAGAACTAAACAGACATTTCTCCAAAGAAGACATACAGATGGCTAACAAACACATGAAAAGATGCTCAACATCACTCATTATCAGAGAAATGCAAATCAAAACCACAATGAGGTACCATTACACGCCAGTCAGGATGGCTGCTATCCAAAAGTCTACAAGCAATAAATGCTGGAGAGGGTGTGGAGAAAAGGGAACCCTCTTACACTGTTGGTGGGAATGCAAATTAGTACAGCCACTATGGAAAACAGTGTGGAGATTTCTTAAAAAGCTGGAAATAGAACTGCCATATGACCCAGCAATCCCACTTCTGGGCATACACACCGAGGAAACCAGATCTGAAAGAGACACGTGCACCCCAATGTTCATCGCAGCACTGTTTATAATAGCCAGGACATGGAAGCAACCTAGATGCCCATCAGCAGATGAATGGATGAGGAAGCTGTGGTACATATATACCATGGAATATTACTCAGCCATTAAAAAGAATACATTTGAATCAGTTCTAATGAGATGGATGAAACTGGAGCCCATTATACAGAGCGAAGTAAGCCAGAAAGATAAAAACCATTACAGTATACTAACACATATATATGGAATTTAGAAAGATGGTAACAATAACCCTATATGCAAAACAGAAAAAGAGACTCAGATGTATAGAACAGACTTGTGGACTCTGGGAGAAGGCGAGGGTGGGATGTTTCAAGAGAACAGCATCGAAATATGTATATTATCTAGGGTGAAGCAGATCACCAGCCCAGGTTGGGTGCATGAGACAAGTGCTCGGGCCTGGTGCACTGGGAAGACCCAGGGGGATCGGGATGGGGAATACATGTAAATCCATGGCTAATTCATTTCAATGTATGACAAAACCCACTGCAATGATGTAAAGTAATTAGCCTCCAACTAATAAAAATAAATGAAAAAAAAAAAAAAGACAAAACAAATGAAATTGATTTTTTAATTAAATATTGTGTTAAGAGTGAGTTAAAACATTTTAGAATCATATTAACAATTTAACTTACTTTAAATGAATTCACTAAATGTAATAATGGCTTTAACATATCAGAGGCATCTATCTTGTGTAGTTTAATCTCTGCCCAGCCAATTCATAAATTGATTATTTTTTGTCCAGAGCGTGGACCAACCCAGACATACATAACATACCTACTTCCCCAGCTGTTATTCTACAACCAGCTTCATACTTCGTTCCCCTGCACCAGAATTCCCCCAACACCCTCCCCTCTCCCAAATCAGACACAGTGACACTTACAGAGCCACTTCTGAGAGCTGCTGCTTGGTGAGGTTCAGTGGGTGATTGAAAGCAGTAATCCCATACTGGCTGGGGTTTGCTCCCTTCTGCAGATTGGCCCGGAGAATGGCATTGTTGATGACATTCAAGAAAGAGCTGATGGCGTGCCAGCCCTTGTTGTTGAACCACACCTGAAATAAAACATACCAGGTGCAAAGTACTGCTCCTAACCCCTGTTCCCGAAGGTAGGTGCACAGACACAAAACATGCACATGCACTCCAGAAATTTCAGTCACACCTGAAGACAAAACACGATCAGAGAACATGGTAAAGAGGTAACAGGGGCTGGGATGTGCCCAGCACTGTCTGTGAGGTCAGGCAATGTGCTGACTATCTTTAACGTATTTAATCTTCACCAAAGCTTTGAGGTAGACATGGTTATTGCCTCCATTTTATAGATTAGGAAACTGAGGCTTAAACAGGTTAAGTAACTCAGTCATGTTCATAATGGTTCCCCTGGTGTGATTGGCGGCAAAGCAAGTTCTTTTTACAGCCTCACCGATAAAGTTACTAGACTTTTCTGTCATGAATCAACATTATCACAAGCTGACACTCTGGGGCAACACAGGAATTACTGTTCATCAGAAAGCCACTGGAACAAAGGGCTTTACCTTGACGTTATTTTTCGTGTCCAGTCCTGTCATGAACCTTCCCAAGCTGCTGAGAAATCGGTCTGCAGAACTGTCCTGTGAACAACAAAAAGCTACCTCAGCTGGGATGGTTCACAGGGGAGGAGCAACAGGAAGTCTGGAGTCTGTGGACAATGGGACAACCTTGTGAAGGGAAACACGGCTATTGCCTCATTCACTGAAACGCAACTTGAACCCTATAAATAATAACTGGCTCCTGAAAAATAAGTGACTGGAAATCTAAAGCACTGTTGTTGCCACAAGTCACAAGTCTTAAAGGAACCAGAGGGAAACCCTGTGATTCAAAGTCCCAAGAGGTAGATGTCAGCCTGTAACTGGTGGTAAGGGCTCTTCACCATGTTCCCTTGACATCATCCGAAGGCCCCCCGCTACAATTAACAAGCAGATGCATCCGATATGGGGTCTGTGGCTTAAGGGAGAGATTCTAGGACAATCCCTGGTGTCTGTGACACTGGAATTCATATCATCTGAACCCCAATTCCAACTTAGAAGAGGGAAACTTGGGATATAGATAAAGAAAGTGAATGTTTATCAGGTCCTAAAACTAGCTGCTGGTTTAAAGAAAGTGATTCATTTCCTGTTTAACCAATGATTGTTTTAGAAAAGTATGTTTGATGCCCAGTTTCTCTGTTCACTGGCTATACTTAAGTTATTCTGAGAGATCTAAAATCTCTGAACTTGCTTTCTTTCTCGAGCATTTTTGTTTGTTTTGGCTGCATTGGGTCTTACTTCCCTGACCAAGGATTGAACCCAGGCACCCTGCATTGGAAGTGCAGAGTCTTAACCACTGGACCACCAGGGAAGTCCCTGAACTTATTTTTGACCTGCACTTTCACATAGTAAGTACACAGTGAGTGACTGAGTCTTGGCTGGCCCATGATCTCTAAGTGCTCGGTGATGGCTTTGTACTTGAAAATCTTAAACAATAAGCTACCAGGTAATCAGATCTGTCAACTACTCCCATGTACCAGCAACTCATTTTCTGTCTGACATGTCTTGGGATGGGTACCGTACCTTGACCACCTTCAAGTGTTTCTTCATTTGCTTGATGGCATCATTAACTTCTTCACTCGGAGGAAGTGACTGAGAATTACTGGCACCCAGGGAAAATCCACCGTACCTAAAAGAATAGCCTGACATTAAAACACAGGCAGTGTGGGGCCCATTGTCACTCACCAGCAGACACTGCCTGAGGATGTAATGTTCAATTAGAGGAACTGTATGTTCAAAGTAGGACCAAAATAGGACTCAGAGGAAGTTTCACCTTGGTCTCCTCTAATGGATCCTGGCAGTCTCAACTCTTACAGCTTTTGCCCAAGTGAGAGGGACCTGGGTCTGATTATACACAGAATGAGACATCTGAGATGTTGAGGAAAGAATGCTCATTCATCTCACAGATGCTCCTCCCACCCCTGGTGGCTCAGCCCTGAACATGGGTCTCAAGGCAAGCAGACGGGGAGTCAGGATGAGCAGGGAAGATATTGGCCAGAGAGGCCAGGGAGGGCTTATAGATGGGCTGTGGCCCTTTCACAGCAAGAGAAGCAGAGAAGGTTCTGCATCCACTCTATTCAGTTAGTCAGTAGGTCCTGGCTCTTGGGGAAAAAAGGCGAAGAAGAAAGGTGGGAGATAGGGTCAAAAAACAAAGTTCTGAGGCAGCTATGTAAGGCATCTCATTTCTCATGAGTAATAAAGGGCTTCAAGGATGCTTCCTTCGGTTTTCTTCCCCAGTCCCATCTGCTTCTTCAAAACTCAGAGGGATACCGGCAGGGATGGTGGTGGGGGGGTGGAGAGGAGAGAGACTGACTGCAGCAAAGAAAAGGATTCTTACTCTCCTGATGGAACTCTGGTCTTATTTCCTAAAAGAAACATTGTTATTTAAAAAAAAAAAAAAACTCAGAAAGATAAATGAGTTGAAATGCAATGAACAAATGGTTTTGAAGCCTCCTATTTCATATAAGACCTTCTTGGTTATTACAAAGACCTGAAAAATTGTTCTTGAGCCCCTAGGACTCCTAGGAATCTGATTGGATAATTTTAATTAGCATAGGTTTTTCCCTCACATCATGCTTCCTGTCAAGTCCCTAGAGACCCACAAGGAACTTCTAAATCTCCTCAAGGACATCAATATGCAAAAATTCCAAAGGCCTCTGAAGTGGCAGTTGGGCACTGAGCTAAGGGCAAAACCATCCCTAAACCAACAACTTCCCAGGGTCCAAGAAAACTGCATCAAAACCATCCTCCTGAGCTGTAGGAGTCAAGGAAAACAAAAAGAAAAGCACAGAGGAGTCAACTTACCTAAACTCATTCACCCAGATCTTGTTCTTTAAGCTGTAGCGAGGGCCAAAGACAAAGAAACCAGAAATCAGTCCAAAGAAACATTGATCCTTTTCCGGATCATACAAAAGTTAGAAATATCTACCTGGGGATACAACAAAGGGACAGAAATAACTCTACAATCAGGCTGGTGTTGTAGGGTTTTGCCAATGGAAAGAAGCCCTAATAAGCATGTCTTTTCTTCTCCATATATCAAAACCTTATTATTTTTAGGAAGGTCATGCCTTGTATTAAAACAATTAAAAAACCAACAAAGACGTGATCAAACTACAAACTTTTTAAATTCAAAAATAATAGTTCAATTATGGCTAACATATGGAGAGGTTAAGCTTCTTTCTTGGAAACAAACAGTAACTGTCATTCAAGCATACCCTTGTCATTAAAAGTCACTGGAACTCCAATTTAGGGGAACAAATACAACCAAGCTGATGGGAAGGAAGCTAAAGCAAGCATATTCTGGGCATCAGCTAAGTACAGCAGTCCCCTCCTTAATTGGAGGGGACACACTCCAACACCCCTCAGTGGATGCCTAAAACTACAGATAATACCAACCCCTACATATACTATTGTTTCCTATCACCTGTCATTTTCTTTGAAGGTCAATAGGACCACTATCACGTAAAATAAAATGTTACTTGGAAATAAGTTCTGTAATACTATGACAGTCCATCTGATCACCAAAAGGGCCAGGGAAGGAAGCATTTATGGTGTGTGGCTATACTGGACAGTGGGACAATTCCCATCCCAGGAGAGACACAGTGGGATGATTCCCATCACACCACTCAGAGAAGCATGCCATTTAAAACTTATGAATTGTTTGTTACTGGAATTTTCCATTTAGTATTCTCTGACCACAGCTAATGATGGATAACTGAAACTGAGGAAAGCAAAACTGCAAATAATGGGGGAGCTAATGCATTCAGGACAATGCAGTGATGCCCCAAGAAGCTACACGGCTCTTCTAAGGCTCCACAGAGAAGTTCTGAGAACTCAGGGCTCTCTTGATAATGCCACATATTTATCACTCATTCCATCCATGAGAAGTACTTTACGTGTATCATTTCATTTAATCCTTACAACAAACTACTGGGAGCAACATTATTATCATGTTATATACAGCCTAAGGCTTTAAAAGGATAACTGGTTGCCATGGTCAAACGGCAGATAAGTGGCAGAATTAGAATTTAAATCCAGATTTATTTTCATTCTGGAACCAGGCAACCTCAGTCTTCAACCTGAATATTCATAATACTTCCCATTACCTTTTCTAATCTGAAAGAATATCCTAAACTTCAAAAGGACAACATCAAGCCAAACTGTGATGTTTCCCACCACTACTCAATCTCCTATTTTTTAGGCCTTTAATTCCTCTAATCAGTAACCACTAAGCAGGGGCCAAGGATTGTAAATGATGACCTTTTGGCTATGATCTGCACGTATGTCTTCACCAGATAATCCGAAATGTTTCTTCCTGTGAGGTTCTGAAGGATGTCGGCAGTATTCTGTTTTCTCTGTCATCAGAAAAACCAAGCACATGTGTCTTTATGGGCCAGAATGGGAACAGAAATCAAATCAAGAACAAAAATGACACATGTTCCTCAAACATGTACCACAGTGTGAGCAGACCCTGCCCACAGGGCCTGGACACTGTCATCAGCCGATCACCAAGGCCTGGTCCATTCTGCCCTTTATGCCAAGTCAAGGTGATTCCCAGCAAATTACTCTGAACAGCTAAGCAATAGACCATGACGTATCATTCTTCACGGTTACAAAAGGTTTCTAGGGAGCAGCACCATTGACTATGCCTAGTGAATTTTCCTCCTTGGAGTTACGCTGATGAAGAGATGAAGTGCTATTTTAAGGAGCAGCAACCACTAAGGACTACTTTTTCAACACTAGCTAAAGTTCCTGTCCTCGTCCTGCAACCTGGATGCTGATAAGGCAGCAGAGAGGCATCGCAAGCAAGCCTCTTCCTGAAGTTCTCAGGAAAAAAAGACTCAGAATTGCTTCTCTCACTCACAGGCTCCAAGGACTGTCAAGAGTTATAACCCTCACAGAAGTTTCACAGGCCAGCCTCCCTGATTCAGCAGTGAGGAAACAGGCCCAGGGACCCAGAGTGACCCATCCAAGGTCACCAGCTCCTCTATGGCAGAGGTGGAGATGCAGCTGCGTCTGTCAGTCTGTCCTGGGACCAGCCCTGCACAAGAGGCTGCAGTCTGACTTCCACAGACCACTGATCCAGAGTGTTGTTTCTGGCTGTATCTCAAACAAGGAAGGACCTAGGCCGACTTCAAAATATGTCATCCATTCCGTCTTCCCAGTCCACCCTACACCTCGCTCACTCAATCACACTGAAAGGACTCACCTGAGGAGGAGGCAGCCCCCCTGCCCCCAGGGGGCACACAGGCAGCATCTTCTTGATTTTGTCGCTGCTACACTGGCAGGTGGGCGAGGGGTTCTCCATCGTCCAGTTTCCATTTCGGAAGAGGTCCGTGATGGTCTGGGGGACTGGGGCGGTGGTCCACTTCTCCTCTCCCACCAAGCAGGGCCTTTCTCTGAAAAGGGTCACCAAGGATAGGATCACCCAAGAGGGTCTCGCCTCTCCTGTCACCTCGGAGCACAGGACCAATCAATAACAACTGCGAATACACATACATCCCCTCACCACTTGGTTACTGATCCGTCCCACAGACTTGTCAGCTACAGACTCATTTTACAGTTAAATACCATGGAACACAAAGAAGGCCTAAGTGCTCATATACTGAACTCAAGTCAACCCAATCACCAGCATGCAATCACTCACCCACGGGTTCACTCAACAAACACTCACTGAGCATCTACTATGTGACAGACACTGTCCTGCATATTTGAGAATCTGGGGTGAAAAGACAAAGCCTCTGCCATCATGAAGTTTATGTTCCCAAGAAAGATTAATTAACAAATAATGTAATCTTTGATGGCCAAAATGCAAGCAAAATAAAGGGAGAATGTCTGGTGAGAAAGGACCACCTGAAGAGGTCATATATTTCAGCCAAAACCTAAATGATGACAGAGAACAAGCCAGGCAGGGATTGGGGGGAAGAACATTACAAGCAGAAGCAACAGAGCGCAGCTGAAAAGGTCCCCAGTGTTCTACAAATAAGGAACAACACGAAGGCAGCGGGGCTGGAATGTGATGAGCTATGAGGAAGAGTGATGGGAGATGAGAAGAGGGAGGCAGGAGTCAGAAGACATACACCTTGGGAAAAGTCTACATTTTATGCTGAAAATCTGGGGAAGAATGTCAAGATTCACTTTTTACATGTTTTAAAACAAGTAAAGAATTTGGGGGAGTTAGCCAAGGTGAGAGTGTTTGGCTCACAAAGAGCTAGATTGTTTGCAGGCATCCCAGGCGACGAGTCAGGCATTTATGTCTGAGTTCTGAATTACTGTGAGACCACCAAGTCACTTGCCCTCTTGGAGCCTATTTTCTCCAGAAAACTGTAAAATGACTTATTTCAACAGGTCACATTTCAACAAGGCATTTCTCATATCCCTTACACTTTTAAAACCCTACAATTTGAAGCCAAGCCACAGGGTTTAGATGATTCTTACATCAAACGAACAGTTTTGTGGATTGCTCTCTGGTTCCAAGTGGAATCTCATCACAAATCTTATGAAATTTGTCCTTCTCCACCTTGGTCATCTTGTTCTTTAGGAACCGATATTAACTGTCAGGATTTACATTTATTAAATACTGCTGCTGCTGCTAAGTCGCTTCAGTCGTGTCCGACCCTGTGCGACCCCATAGACAGCAGCCCACCAGGCTCCCCGGTCCCCGGGATTCTCCAGGCAAGAACACTGGAGTGGGTTGCCATCTCCTTCTCCAATGCATCAAAGTGAAAAGTGAAAGTGAACTTGCTCAGTCGTGTCTGACTGTTAGTGACCCGATAGACCACAGCCTACCAGGCTCCTCCATCCATGGGATTTTCCAGACAAGAGTACTGGAGTGGGTTGCCATTGCCTTCTCCATATTAAGTACTAAATACTAGCAAATGTTCAGTAAGTATCCAGAGTTAATTAGAGCCAACAAGTACATAACAGCTACGTGTTTAACGAGCACACATTAAAACTTGCACACCCAGGTGGTATGCTCACTGGTCTGTCACCTGCAGGCTCACTATCTATTCCCTTCAAAACCTGGAATTCAAGTTTGCCCTTCTCCAGTCTTCCTAAACTTTCCCACACTCTCCATAATCCTTGAATCTGTGGTTAACAACCTCAAGTGCAAATTCTACCCAAGCCTGGAAACCTGAACCCGCCTCTACCTTCACTGAACTCTCAGAAGCTCCTCACCACTCTTCACTGTCTTTATTCAGAGAGATCTCTGGACATGCCTTCTCCCCATATACAATGACAGTCAAATGAGTATTTCACTGAATTTATTTTATATGCTACCTACTTTTTTTTTTAAAAAAAAAGGACATTGAAGGAGAATATGACAAAAATATGCAACTCTGAAAAAGAAAATGTCCATTTTTATAAAAATGATGTCAACCATTCAGACTTTTAGAGGGAAGAAACTGATTAGCAAAACTACAAATTATACATAATGGGTGCCTATCTCTGCAGTCAGGTATAGGAGCTGGGGAAAAGGGATCATTATGAAGTACTATTTAAATTAAATATTAATGTCTAAAGCAGAAAACAAATGTCTATAATCATTTTCCTGGCAGGATGCTAGAAGAGTCTACTGGTCTGTTATATTTGTTCCTGGATGCTAGGGTTAAATCACTACATTAGCTCCTTTAAAATAAAAACTGGTTCAAAGGGTAAATGATGGTCATCACCAGGTGGCATACGAAAGCAGTGCAGAGATCAAACCATGTGACAAGCGCAAGAAGCCAGCTGTGGAGGGGCTCACAGCTCAAGTGGCACTCACGGGATCGGGTTTCCTTCCATACATCGGGTCCCAAAGCCAGGCGTTCCGGTGAGAGCATTTAAGAGTTCCTGGGTGCTCACATCCTCAGGTGCATCATTACTGTAGATACATGAGAGGCAGCCAGCTTAGCAACTCATTTAAACCATGAATGGGAGGGGAAAGGCTTTTTTTTTTCCCCAAATTAAACACTTTATTAAGTACTTCCCTGTGTGCCAAATCCTGCCAACCTCTTAAAATAGAAACACAGAACCCACCCACAAGGAACTCAGCCTCTGGTTGTTTATTTGGTGTCAAGATGACGTACAGCACTCCAAAGTGGAACTTGTGTAAATAAGTGATAAATATGGAGGGGTGCACACATGTGCGCCCACATACATTTACATATATCTATTTTAATGGGAAGCCCATGAATTCATTAAAGATCAGTATTTCAAAAGTACTTTCACAATTAATCATTAGACATAGACAAGGGGGGTTTTCTAGGGAAAGAAAGGCAGATTTTATGGGCTTAATGTTTGCATGGACAACTGGAAAGCACAAATAATGATGGGCAGAAGTTATAAACACAAAACAAGCCCATGCTCCACAGCCCCGGGCAACACAAGGTCCGCAGCTGGGAAAGAAAAGGAGGAGGTAAATCTGCAGGAAATAGGAAGGAAGAATGGAATTAGAGAAAAGGAGACTAATTTGCATGCTTATGTTTCTTTTTTCTTTTCTTTAAAGCTTCCCTGAAGCTTCCCTTGGACATCACTGGCACACTTCTCCATAGAAAGGTTTGCAAATACTGTGGGACAGAGGAAAACTTCTGCATAAGAAGATGGAGAAATTCCTTTGTTCTTTTGTTTGAAGCACTGGATTGTTACAGAATAGCGGTACTTTTGTCTAAAAAAAAAAAAACACGAGCTATTATCTGTAACCTAAAGACTAAATAATATATATGTGAATTGCACCATGTAGAAAACAAGAACTTGGAGGTGTGAGGGTCTGAGCATATGGAAACCCTGTGTTCAACTGCAAAATAAAGACATAGTGTAAGAATCCAAGTATATTATAGCTCAAGCAGATTTTTCTGCAAGGGTAGATTATTTACATAAGACATGTATATTCCTGACAACAGCGAATAGAGAGGAAAGGAGTTCAAAGCCCTGTTACTTCAGGTTTGCTTCACTGCTGTTCCTGCATCTATCATGAGCTTGTGTGAGGCTGTAGCCGTAGCTGATAAATCCATGGCCTTGTGTAACTGAGTCCCCCTCCCCTTGGCCCTCAGCACAGACAACACTCTGGTCAACCTGAGCCCTCCTTTCCCCCCGGTGCCGAAGGCAAACGCATACCTGACAAACGTATACTGTTCATTGTACATCCAGGGCTGAAGTTCCAGGCTGGGGTACTTGCCAAAGGGCGGCACAATCAAGCTGAACACCAGGGCGATGCAGACAAACACAGCTGGCAGGACAATCTATAACCAGGGGGCAAGGAGGGAGAAGAGTTGCCAGAGAAAGACAAAGGTTAGAAAGAAGACCATTTCCAGCCCAGGTAGCCTCAGACCAGCCAGTACTGGGGTGTGTGCAGGGCCTAGCTCCATCAAGACATTCGTGGCAGGTTGGAGGCAGTGGAGGCTGAAATCTAAACCCCTTCCCTTGGGTGAATTTCTGGAAGCTGGCAAGACAAGGCCTGAGTTTGTGGCCACCTGGCAGGGGCATCGAGCTAAGGACTTCACAGAGTAAACAGCAGTCACATGTCAGGGTGACTCAGAACACTGGGTCCCTCTTCTCCCTGAAAACCTGAGGAAGACCACACTGGCCATGAGCCCAGCTCAGCTCCGAGGAAAATTGAGAGCCCAAGCATGGACCAGAAGCCAGAAGAACTGCAGCTTCGTTCTGTCTCTCCTTCTTTCTGTCTCTCTCCTGTATCCATCTGAATTCACAACCCCTATGGCCTCGGTCTTCTTGTCTGCAATCTGCAGACAGACCAGGTTACCCATTCAGCTCCCATACTCTGAGAAAATCACTATACAGCACTGCCTCCAGGGAATGGGAACAGCTGCCATTTCTTTATCTGATGGCCTCAAAAAGCACAATTAATCCTTACTAAACCACCTTAAGGGGGTTGTCCAAGTGGTGCTAGTGGTAAAGAACCTTCCTGCCAAGGCAGGAGACATAAGAGATGCGGGTTTGATCCCTGAATCGGGAGGATCCTCTGGAGGAGGGCATGGCAACCCACTCTACTATTCTTGTCTGGAAAATCCCATGGACAGAGGAGACTGGCAGGCTACAGGCTATGGATCGCAAAGAGTCAGACACAATGGAAGTGACTTAGCACATGAACAAACCACCTTAAACTTTACACTTGTACCTTTTCTGAAAACAACTTGTATATATTTTATAAGCAAACTCTAAGCTCCTTCCATTTATTCCTGAGAGATTTACCCTTTAAAAAAAAAAAAAAACAGATTCAAATAATGTCCCTGGTTCTAATGTTCTGAAGTTTCAATGGAGAAAATTAATCATTATGTGACTAATTCCATGGGAAAATACTATATGAGCATTATCTCACTTAATTATCACTACAACCATAACTAGTAATATAATTATCACCAATCAAAAAACAAGATAATTGAGGGTCAGAAAGACTAAGCAACTTGCCCAAGGCCAAACAGCCAAGAAGTAGCAGAACCAGAATTCATACATAAATCTATATGCTCCAAACTCATATTCTTTGCATTACCCACATAGCCTGTGGGAAAGAATCTCTGTAACTTCTTTACACTTCTTGATTTTGTAGAATGGAATAATTTAATCCTCCCAACCCAACAAGTTAGCATGCAAACAGAGAATAACAAGTCTTTTCTGTTTACCACTTTTTTCTGACCCCTGGTTATCTTTTCTATCAGTCTGCAGTTAAACATCAACTTAGAGAAAAATCAAGTCTCCAATAAGTTCATATGTTGAGTGCATCTGGGCATACCATCTCTGAAGTTTTGAAAGTTTAATTTGCTCATTCAGTTTTTCTAGACCTTGTCCTTGTTACACTCTCCTCTAAGAGAAAATTAACACATACAGAAATTCCTAATTTGAGACCCATTCCAAATACTTACTCATAACATATCATAGGTACTATTATTATCATCCCCATTTTATGGATAAGGAGATTGAGCCTCAGAGAAGTAATCTGTCAACAGATATATAAGTGCAAGAAGCAAACTGGGATTGAAATACAGATATTCTGGCTCCAGCGTCCATCTTCTAACAATGATGCTACCCTGCTTTCACTGGCCGGGAGCCTGTAGCCCACCAAGGAAGTCTGAGTCCTTGGCCAGTAACACACTGCTCACCTGAGCAAAGAATCCCTTCCGACTCCGTCTGGCAATCAGCAGTCTCTTCCACAAAAGGGCCACAAACTGCTGTTGTGTGAGCTTCCAGCCCTTCACCTGGTAGGAACCTTTACCGTCCATCCCACTGAGCAGGTCTGTTTCTCTGGATTCTGCAGAAAGCCATCACTGAAGGTCAGAGATTACATCAGGCATTTTTGACATCCCCAGCCTCCTTCCTCCTGCATCTTTAGCCACCGCCTTGGAGGCTTGTGTTTGGAGGTAGAAGTAAAGGAATGAAGGGCTTTTATGACAAATTCACGTCCATGGAAAAGGTATGGCCCCAAATGTACCACAGTAGCAGTCTCTGCCTTTGGTTCTTGTCTGATGAGCACAGAAAATTGAAGGTGTCTTGAGACAGCTGAAGAGATGAGCTTACACATAATAGTTATATCAAGCCATTCAAACGAATCGAGTCATCCTCAATTTCTTACAGAATATTCTATAAAACAGGCCATGTCTGTAGGCTGACATACTTTGAGAACATATAACAGCAACTTGTCTCCCGCCTATTTTATCTCTAGCTAAGAGGTGGACACATTCAGGTGATCTAAGTGCTAACAATGTATGAAGTTTCGGAAAACACGAGAGTTGCACATTCAACATGGCACAGGGACAGGACAGCCAGGAAGGTTTCTGTTCAGAAAAGTTTTCTAGAAATCCTCATCTTATACAGACAATTTCTAACTGCAGTGACCTGACGTCTCACCAATATTTGCTTGATTTCCTGTCTCCCCTTCTTTATCCCAGTCAAACACACATGGATACAGTCTTCGAAAATAGCTAAGTTGAAGGGTACAATCAACTCTAGTAGCAAATTCACCTCAGTCTTGCAAAATCATCCACCCATTCAAAGAACATTTATTCCACAATTAAACACCTAATGAACGTGAGAAAACTGGGACTCTACAGAAAAGATAATAAATGGATTCAGAGGAATAAAGGGCTGTCTTCTGATGTGTATCTCGAGTAAGAGGTCTCAGTGCAGTGCAGGAAGTGGGCAGGACAAGCTCTTTCAGGTCTGATCGTATGCACAGCACCAGAAAGGGGAAAGTGGCTTTTCTCATTCTCTCTCTTCTCTTTAGACCCTGTAGGCATCTATCATCCTGGTTCGAGGGCCTTGAAAGATAACACCGGAAAACACAAGAGGGAAACTCACTTTCAAGCAACAAAACACAGATCTCACCCAAACGTACCTGGATCTATGTCGGAATCATTTGGGTCCACAGCATCGTCTTCAGTAAAAGGGCGCAGACAGCTCTGCTTGTCCCCAAAGACCCGTCTGTTTCGTCTTGCTGGTAAGGTGCCATCTGGAGACAAAAGGAAGGAACCCCACGTTTTACTTGTAATAAAACAAATTCTCTGAAATCTTAAAAGCCTATACAGTAAAAGTAAGAATGTCATAAAACAGTTTGAAGGGAAAGGCAAAACCCTGGTGAGCTAAGAGAGTCTGCAGGTGGCACAGCCCAGAGGGCATGCAGTCCCCTTGGAGGCCTACCTGAGGTCTCGGCATCCACTCCACTCTCTTCAGCCACTTTGAGAAATATCTGAACAATGAGAATGAGAGGATTATAATAAGCACCACGTTGTGAGAGCAACTGTCATGATTATTACATGACTGAACACGCGAGCCCCTAAAGACATAACGTAAAAGCTTCATTCGTTGGTAACACTTTGTCAGAGTCACTTGGGAGAGAAGCCATTTATACCAGAGAACATTTCCCCAGTGGCGAAAGCTATCAATTCAGAAAGTCACTTTCAAATTAAAGCTATGACATCAGGACACTGCAGAAGGAGGAATTTGTTCTGAACCTACAGGGAATGAGCCAAGTGGCTTCTTCAAGTCTTTGGCCCGAAATCCTTGAGCAGGCCAGCACCAAAACAGGCTATCCAAGACAGGATGATCAGGAGAAGAGGCGTTCCCTATCACTAGAAATGTGATGGCAGGGTTTCCAACATCAGAAGGCAACCTGAACTAGACAGGTGATTCCCAAACTCTGATCTACAGATGCTGCCCAGGAAGCATGCAATAAAAGCACAGACATTAAGGTCTTACCATCAGGAATTCTGGTTCAAAGACCCTGGAGTTGACATTTTTAGAATATTCTCAGAAGATTCTGCTGCACAGGCTAACTTGGGGACTACTAGGACAGACACTTTTTATATCCCTTCCAACCCTCGAGGTTTCTCTAAAGAGGGGCACTGCTTACACAGTAATAGAGTGTGGGCTTTGAAGCTCAAAACCCCTGATCTGAATCCTAGCTCAGCATCCCTTCATGTCAATTTTCTCATCTTGTTATGAGGATTAAATGAGTTACAATGATTGAAAACAACAAAACAAAAACAAAACACACCCAGGTTAGCCCAAGGCATAAGTAGGTTTTCCATAAATGCTGGACTTTTCCTAGGCGTGGTCATGACTCGGTCACCCCAGGAGCAATCCTCATTTCTTCCCTACCATCTCCCACTGAAATCTTAAAGGCTTAAGTGGGACCAACACTGCCCAGATGCCAACGACCTGAGGGCTCAGTGCCTAGGTTCATGGTGATCCTACTCCCCCAGCGGACATGCAGGCTGCCTGTCTGGCCCCGGGATTGTTGGCCCTGCTCAATTCTGACAGTCAGTCACTGAACTTACTTCTTCCAGAGTAGTCTCTGAGATGCCGTAACTGGAGATGCCTAGGTCTGAGAGCCGGTCGTCAATTTCGTGGAAGAGTTCCACAAAGGCTCCCTCTCTGGCTGCCTCATAGGGCAGCACATAGGTCAGCTCATGCCCGATGTCTTCCACCAGCCGGGCCTCGGCCACATGCTTCCTGATGAGGTTGGAGATCGCGGAGACATCTGTAGGGACCGCAGCACAGATATGATACGGCTTGGCCAGCTCAGGGGCCCCCTTCCTTCATCCTCTGCCTGCTCCTCAGAAGCCCACTGCCTGCACACCACAGCTGGCGCAGACACTGAAGTCATTCCACAGGTTCATCTCTGGCCCGAGGGTCCCTGGGGGCGGGGACTGGGTCTTATTCACCATTGCATCACCAAAGCCGGGCACAGCGTAGGCCCTCAGTGTACGGTGGGTAGGTGGGGGTGGCTGGCTGAATGACTTTCTGAGGTTGAAAGCCTCGTGTCTATTGCCAAAAAGCTAGGATTCTTCAATGGAAAACCTGACTAAAGGAACCTTAAGAGGTTCTTCCTCTTTCTCTTAATCTGTTCGAGGAGGCTCCTCTATTTATCTCAACAGAGGGTTAATCAAACAGTTTATGGAAGGAGAGGTCTTCCTGGGAAGAGCCAGTTGTTAGACTTGGCCACGGTAAAGGCTTCCATTCCATATGTTTCAGTGGGGACTTTGGACTCCGAGACATCCTCATGAGGGAGGTGTCCAGTGTCCAACCAGACCCATTCATCTCAGCTGAATGGGTGGGGAACCACCCCCCACCCCAATCATCTCAGCTCTCTAGGACACTGCCCTGCTGGCTCCCAGACCAAGCCCCAGGCTCCCCAACAAGCGTTAGGCCACTCCGCCACCAAGCTGCACCTGCTCCCGCAGCCACCCAGGCCCAGCCCAGCAGCAAACCTTGAGTCAGCGCCACCAGCCTCTGCACCTCTCCTCCTGTGCCTCCACTCTGCCCAGCTGGGGGAAGCTCAGACACCACCTGAATAAGAAACCCCAGAGTCCTTACCGATGGTCAGCGTGTCACTTTCATGGTCGCTGCCCAGGCCAGCATCAGAACTGCTCTGAGAAACACTGTCCTCCTGATGGCAAAGAAGGAGGTGAGAAGGGGTCAGGGACCGAGCAAGGTACAGCCACCACCACCTTCACCAGGGCGGGGCTTCCGAGAGGCTCCTATGTGTGAGAACTAGAGCAAAAAGTTTCTCCTGAGAGGCATGCAGCCAGGCAGTCTTGGCTTCTGAAGCCACTGTCTGATCTAACATGTGTGTGCTGTGTGCACAGGAAACAGCTCAAAAGAACTCTGGCCTGCCAATGCATACTGTAGGGACCTCCCTGATGGTTCAGTGGTTAAGATTCCGTGCTTCCACTGCAGGGGGCATGGGTTCAATTCCTGGTCAAGGGATTAGATGCCATAAGCCATGTAGCAAGGCCAGAAAAACCCCCACAAACCTATAAGTGCTGTGACCAGGCTCTCATCAACAGTCTTGGGCATGGGATTTACCCACCTGGTTGTGTTGTTTGGAGCTTCTCAAACTTTAATTTGTGTCTCTTCACCATAGGACCTTGTTAAAATGCAGATTCTGATTTAGCAAGTCTGATTTGGGCCCATGTTTCTGCATTTCTCACAAGTTCCCAAGTGATCCCAATGCCACTGGCCTCAGACTATACTTTGACTCACCAGACACTAGTTAAAAGGTAAACAAGTGGACAGGAGGTCAAGGATGGGATATATTGCTAAGTGTTTTGAGTGCCACTGTTGGAATACACAAATAAATCTCAGACATGTACTGCATTACAGGGGAGTACGTATCTTGCTATTGGGTTCTGGTCCCTCCTCTGTTATGCACTTGTTGGATGACCTTGAATGAACTAAATCCCTACAAGCCTCACTTCTGTCATCTAGGATAATAAGTACAATACCTCCTTCCCAGGGTTGCTTTGTACTCTGAGATGATGTTTTTTTTTTTTTTAAAAAAAAAAAAAGCCTACAAATGATAACAGTGCTACAACTATTATCATGATTTTCTTTTATGCCCAGAGTCTGCTGGATTGAGTGTTTGGCATGAAATCAGTGCTCAATAAATATTTGCTGTTTTGTAGTTTAAAAGTTTAGGTCAAGAAGATTTAAAGGTAATGAGGAGACACAGCAGGGCATTCTGCAGCCAAGGCTCTTAACTCTTGGCAAACCTCTCTTCCTCAACAACATTAAGTCCTGTAAGGACCTTCTCCTACACTCACTGTGTTTCCGTAAGAAAAAGGAAACGGGATTGAGCAGAGCTAACACGATGGGAACAGAAGTCTCTGTAGCTTTCCATGCAGGAGGTACAACATGACTCCACAGGGCACAGAGCAGGGAGCTGGTAGCCTCAAGGTGGCAGACCGAGGCAGGTATGGACAAGCCAGTCATAGCCAGAGTCCCGATTCTCCGGACGCACTGAGACTGCAACTCACCTTTTTCAGGTATGACACAGTGCTACTGCTATTTCTGCATGAGCTGAGGGAAGACTCCACGTCCTTCTTGACCAGGGTCAGGTAGTAGCCTGTCCCCAGCTGGTTCTTTAGGAACAGGGAGGAGCCCACGCAGCAGAGCTTCCCGTGGGAAATGATGGCGATCCTGTCCCCCAGGATGTCTGCCTCATCCATGTGGTGCGTGGAGAGGATGATGGTGCGGCCTGCCGGGCACAAACACAGGGACATGGCACAGGTGAGGCTGGCCATCCTCACTGCTCACAGGGGCCGCAGCTGCAGAAATAAGAGCCGGGGGACGCCTGGGAGGAAGACCCCAAGGCTGTGTGCTTGTGACCCCCAGGCTGGTAATGTCGTGAGGACAGCTTCTGCATCCTCATAGAACAAAGGGCAGGAATGTTTATCTGGGAGCTAGCTCCAGGCCAGCAGTGTGCTAGGTGGTCTATGTGTTAGTGTGCTGGGGCTCATTCAACTAAATCCTTCATAAGGCAGGCTTCCCTGGTGGCTCAGCTGGTAAAGACTCCACCTGCAATGTGGGAGACCTGGGTTTGACCCCTGCGTTGGGAAGATCCCCTGGAGGAGGGCATGGCAACCCACTCCTGTATCCTTGCCTGAAGAATTCTATGGACAGGGAAGCCTGGCAGGTTACAGTCCATGGGGTCGCAAACAGTAGACACAACTGAGTGACTTCCACTTTTCATAAGGTAGGGATTAACCACCATTATAGATAAAGACACTGAGGCAAGTTTAATGGTTTTTCCAAAGTCTGGGCCAACTTGAGCTGACTCCAAACCTGTGCGCCTTGTACCATACCATCCTTTGTATCTTCTACCCTGGTGGCGCAGCGGTAAATAATCTATCTGCAATGCAGGAGCCCCAGGGAGATGTGGATTCAAGCCCTGGGTCGGAAAGATCCGCTGGAGGACTGCATGGCAACCCGCTCCAGTATTCTTGCCTGGAGAAACCCACAGATAGAGGAGCCTGGCAGGCTACAGTCCATGGGGTCACACAAACCGACTGCAGCTCTCCCACCCACTCAAGTGTTCCTCTACTTGTCAACATGCAAGCACAGTGCACCACGTGGGGACACAGATACAGGACGACACAGCCTCGGCTCTCAGGAATCTGTCTGCAGGGGACCGTGATACTAGGCAAGGGAAAGTTCTATGTTGGAGGGGGCCCAGGGGGCCCACAGAGGACGCCCTTTGTCCCCATTTCTCTCCTCCATGCAGGCCCCTAGGGATTGAAATGCAAACTTGAAGTGTCTTGTAAACCAGGCCTCCTACTTGCAGACCAGGGCTGAGCTCAGAGTTCAGCTCCATATTCTCCTTGAGAAGAAATTCTGCTGCTCTAGCAAGAACAGCCCTGAGATACAGCCAGTCTTTGAGAGCCCCTCCCTCCCTCCCTTCCTTCCCCCTCCCAGCCCAGAACAGAGTAAATACACATCAGTGACCTTGTCGGTATTTCAGCAGCAGCTCCCATATCCCCCTGCGGGAGTAAGGGTCCACACCGGCTGTGGGCTCATCCAGAATGACAACCTTGGATCCCCCAACAAAGGCCAAGGCCACAGACAGCTTTCTCTGCATTCCACCTACGGCAAAAGGAGACAAGCCCCAGACCAGCCCATTGAATGATGGCAGAGGGTTAAAGGCAAGAGACAAGTGGAGGCACCCCCCTGGGGACAAGTCCGGGACACGTTTCTGACCCACCCTTCCCCTTCCTTGAAGCAGGGGACCCTAGGGCAGCCATATTTCGTGTGTGTGTGTGTGTGTGTGTGTGTGTGTGTGTGTGTGTGTGTAGAAGGGGAGGTGGAGAAGGAAGACAGCTTTGGGCCTCACCTGACAGCTGACTTGTTTTGCTTTTCAGTTTGCTTGGAGGCAAACCAACATCCAAGGCCATCTGCTCCATCTCAGCTTTCACGTGCTTCTCGGAGAGCCCTTTCAGGCGGGCGTAGAACCAAATGTGCTCCTCGACAGTCAGCCTGGGGATGGAGGGGCAGGTCACTCTGGGCCCCCAGGACACACAGACACAGTGCCTCCTCACCCAGAACATGACAGGCACATTTTTCTTTCCCCACTTTTTTTTTTTTAAGCTTTATCCATTTTTGCAAGATAATCTCCAGGAAGGATTCAAGGCAGAACCACAGTGAGCAGCCACATGAGCTGCTCAAGAAACAACACCAAAATTGTGACAGGTCACATCCACTCTATTCCACCCATCAGGCAGCAGCAGGTCCTCAGAGACCCTTTCTCCATGGCCCACCAACCAAGGAGCTGCCTCAGCCTGGAGCAACTCCCTTGAACCGCAAAGGACCTCAGCCCTGACAGAAGAAGGACCCCTCTAGAGGACACAAGTCTGAGTTGCCCACTTAGATAAAAGAAAACCGGGGCCCAGAAGGCGGTGCCCTTGCCCAAGGTCACAGAGCTCACGTCTCTGTCTGCTCACCACAGGGGCTCCCTGATTGCTGATGGGCAGGCTGAATGGGAGCAAAGTTCTGAGCAGGAAGCATGCAGCCCACATCCTGAGGGCCCAGGGTACCACCAGGTGAAAGCTGTGGTGGCCTCAGGGAGGGTGTGTGGGGAGAGAGGGTTCCTTGCTCTAGAAGGACAGCAATAGACAGCACCATTTCCCCAGCCCCCATCCACCGGCTGGACCAATGTAACACCTCCCACCCCACAACTCACTTTTCTAAAACTGAAGGACAACCAAGTCTCAACATGTCCAGGAAGGTGAGACCTGCCACCCCTAAAGGTGGTAAATATGCTTAAGTCCAACTCTGCCCATCACTCCTGACACACCTCAGTAGGGGGCCGCTGGTACTCACATGTCGAACAGCACATTATGCTGGGGACAGACCCCCAGGTTCTGCCGGATGGTGCTCATCTCGGAGCGGATGTCTTTCCCTAGGATGTAGGCAGTGCCCGAGGTGGGAGGGAACAACCCAGTCAGGATGGACCTGAGGACAAAAATGCGAAAGTGCAGGAGTCAGCGTTAGCACTCCTGCCCTGGAGACGCTCCATTCTAGGTTGCAGAGCCCAGGCGGAAAGCAGAGGCGGCAACCCTCCACCCTCTTTCCTTCCTAAGAGACCCCAGGGGACACCCACACAGCAAAGGACTCTTTGCCTCAGTGAACAGATAGGGGTGGGCCTATGTGTTGGAAATGGCAATTTCAGCACAGGCATTTTTTAACTAAAGATTCCAATTTGCAATGGGAAGTACAGTTTAAAACACACATTTTGTATGCCTAAAATCATGTTCGAGTCAAATGGACAAAGTAGAGCCAATTATGTAAAGACAAAAATAATTTGTGTGTTAGCATTTTTTAGATTTTAAAGATTTTTAAAGGTTTTCGGCAATGTTTGCAATATATTAATCGTGCATTTAAAAAATACATAACAGGAAAAAGAAGTTACCTCCCCCCCCACCAATATACCCTCTGAAATGGTTGATGGGCTACACTGAAAGCCTATGAGGGTAACTCTGGTGTGTTTATGGCCCGTGTTCCCTTCTGAAACTGCTCATTATTAAGGTTCTTATAGGTCCCAGAGAAGGCAGTCTTACAGCCAGCTGCCCAGCTGTTCCTCACATCTGCTTAGAGACAGAGTTTCCAGAAATTGCCTTCTCCCTCCAACACAGCCTATCTTCCTTTTCACATCCTTGCCTCCCAATCCTGACCAAACCAGTCCCAAAGAAACCCTTTCTCAGATCTGCCACAACGTCAGGTTCTAAAACACTGCAGAATTTTGAGAACCAAATGGGAAAGGTCATCAAAAGGTCCCCAGCCTATTTTGACCTGAAGAAATAATATCTAGGAAAATCCAGCATTTGGAAAGCATTCTCGTGATAAGATGATATTTTTACACTCATCGACTCCTCAGGTGCTCTGCCCTTGCCCTGGGCAAGCAACACAATGTCCTTAGGTATGAGTTTCTGACTATAGGAAAGAACCTTCCTGCGGCTGATTCTGAGAGCCACACCCGCGTCTTACATGGTGGTGGTCTTGCCAGCTCCATTGTGGCCCAAGAAGGAGGTGATCTGCCCCTCGTAGAAATTCAAGGCCAGGCCATCAACAGCCACCTTCATGCCATCTCGGTAAACCTTCATCAGGTTCTGAATGGACACACCTAGTTTCAGATGGGTGGGTTCCTCCTCCATGCAGACTGTGAGAAGACAGGACAAAATCAGCCCACAGAATACATTAACAAGTGGAAGGTCAAGACACAGGGTCTTGTAATTTTACAACTGTCCTCTCTCCATGGCTATTTCTGGTTTCTCAGGCAAGCAGGCAACAAATCTTTAATTAGGGCCTTACTGGGCACTAGTGTTGGTGATCGGAATACAGTGAGAAAGGCCCAGAGAGGCTGGGGAAGAAGAGGAGAAATGGCAGGAGGAGGAACTGGATCAGCGGGCAGGGGTGGGTGGTAAGGGATCTCATGAGCCATACCAAGGACGTCACACGTCACACTGGCGAGTGTGGGCAGGGCACAGAAGAGACCAGCAGAGGAGGGACTTCTGAAAGATTTAGGAAGCCATACTGAGCACAAAGTACGTGTATATGTGTGTGAGGGACAGGTGGAGGTGAAGGGAGAGATCAAAAGTCATTTTTTTTTTTTTTTAATGAAGCCAAGAAAGCAAAGGAAATGTCCCATAGGAATTCAGAGAGCAACTCCCCCAGAAGTCAACAGCCCTGGACACAATGCAGTCAAGAACTTGGAAAGGGGCACCTCATGGGATGTCTCTGCCCCCAGGGGGGGTTTAGACTCTTCAGGGAGGGAGCCACTCCTTGTCCCCTCAAGGAGGGCCAGGAGGGGCACCAGCATGGCAGTCAGGGGGATGCAGGTCAGCAAAACTCACTTTCTGATGCTCCCTTCTGGCTGGAAGCAGGGTGGCTCTTCTCATCACTTTCCTCGCCGAACCAGTAGGACTTAGTACAAGGAAAATACCAGGGCCTGGGGATTCCATACTGGCCTGAAAGCCAAGCACAGATGTGAGCTGAACTCTGTAATGCCCCAGCGACCCCCAGGTATCCCAGACACAGCTTCCTTAATGTCTCCCCCTGACACAGCTGTTGGGAGACAGGACAGAACGCAATGGAGGTGGGGGAGGAGGGGCTGACATTTGCTGAGCTCTACTATGCACGACAAACACCCTGCACTTCTCTGAATCTTTCCAGCAACCCCATGAGGCAGGTTATCGTTCCCACTTTAGAAATGAGGAGATTGAGGGATTAGTGGCCCACTCGAGATCACTCAGCCAGTGAAGTGAAGGATTCAGAATCTGAATCCAGATCTGTACAACGCAGAATTGCACATTCAGTGTGGGACATTCAGGTAGTTCGAGTAGGGATAGGTAATCAATATTTCATGGCCACTCCTTTGGAGAAAAATCAGAAACTGAACCAAGAAAGGGTTAAACCTCACTCTCCCAGAATTTGATCTTCTATGAAAATATATCCAAGGCAGGCCTCAGTCAAGAAGATTTTTTAGGGAAGTACAAAAATGAACTTTTATGACTTTCGATTAAAGCACAGGCAAGGGCTTAGCACCAATGTGTATCTTGTTATTCATAAGCTGTACTCAGGAACCTCTGCCGGTGGTAACTCGGGGGATACAGAATTTCAGACCTGGTTCAGCTTGGGAGGGCTCTCCTGGGCAAGCTGACTCAGTGTAACCCACTTGGGTTCACCTCCCAGCACCTACTCTAACCAGTTATGTGGCCACAGGTAAGTTGTTTAACTTCTTTGCATCATACTCCTCTCATTCGCAAAAACTGGGTAGAACAGTAACTCCCTCACAACAGTCTTATGAGTATTAAATTGAACCAAAGCATCATTTATAAGACACTGTGCAGGTGCCTGGCACATAGTGCTCAAGAAATAACAGTTAGGTCAGTAGTAAAAGCTGTACTTTTAGCATCAGTAGCTTCTCCTTAGAGATAATTTGTTTGCCATAGGTCTAAAGCCCTAAACACTTTCCAAGAAGACCTGGGCCCTGCAGAAATTCCAGCACAAAGAGAGGAAAATGAAACGGTTAGAAATTTCTTTTTCCTGGATGAAGACAAAAGCAGTGTGGAAGTCCAGTGTACCTGGAAACACAGCCTCGATGTACCACGTCATCACCCCGTAGAGGAAGGTGTCAAACAACATCATGGAGACAGAGGTGGTGAGGTTGAAGCCATCCTCCTTTGTGGGGCTCTCAAAGAGGTTGTCCCACTGTACCCCAATGCCCTGCTCCTCGAAAAGGGCGAAGTACTCACAGCCAAACCCAAAAGCCACAGGAGACATCAGGCTCTGTGTAAAAGAGGCAAAATTCATTCATCCATCTCCTTGTCTCTCATTTTCCTATCACTGCTAATGTAAATGCCACCTGGAGAAATGTGAATTTGCAAAATGGATCAATTACAAGATATGGAAATATTCATCTACAGAGTCCCTTCAGGGGAGTGGGCTCCTTGACAGCATATAAAGTGATTCTATTTATAAGCACTCATTATGCACACACATTTCAGAAATGCATATATGATGGCATATAAAACTAGAGTTTTAGAGTTTTATGCTTCTAAAGATGTCTCAAGGGCTCAGCAACTGTACCTTATACACACACATAGACACACACAGGCATTTTTCAGGGTCCTCTCAAGCTCCCTGCTTGGTCAGCGATGGGCTCAGTGTCATAGGAACCTGTCTGGGGCTGCTGATACCTAATGGGTCCAGACAGAAACACTTGGAGCATCTTATGGGAAACTCAGGAAACAACTCACTCTTACAGGGACTTGCATACTTTCAAAGGCCTCTCCTCCTCTGTACAAAGGAAGGAAGTAAAGTCAGGGATTCGTGGGAAGATGGGGCACCTGTTCCTCAGTCATGAAGTTTAGAAAATATTACTCAAGTTAAACTCCATACTGGACACAAGGAAGACAAAGGTCCAGAACAAGCCAGCTCTGACCTCAAGAACTTTCAGTTCTATCTGTGGCTGTGACTTTGTGGTGAGCTTAACATGGCCAACAGAGCTGGGACATAAAAGGCAGAACTAGCCTCTATGCTCTAAAGGCATTCCCCAGGGCCATTTACCCCCAGCTGGCCCATGGTGCAGTCTGGCTCCCTCAAAACTATCATTTGATTCAACTCAACCAGTGTTCACTCAGAGGCCTAATGATAAACTACACACTCCCTGCCTTCAAGGAGCATACAATCTAGAATTGAGGCTTAAGTCCCCGTGGAAAGAGAATCTCTTAACTTCTGTTTTCAGCTTGGACTACAAAGCAGGGGTGAAATACCAGGGGTGGCTGTGACTGCAGGTACTGCCGAAGGGCCAAAGTGACTCACCATGAAGATCTTGAGGGTAAAGCCCACGTAGTCTTGCCACGCCACACACAGGACATACGGCAGGTATAGCATGAAGTAAATGATGCCTCCACAGGCGGCCGCCAGGTTGGCTCTGGAGAAGAGCGTGCTAATCAGGAAGCACTGCAGGATGGTCACCGTGGCGAACACACACAGAAAGACAAACACCACGCTGGGGTCACTGTAGGGCAGCAGGTTTCCTAACTGGGAAGAAAGAGACCGAGTAAGACTCTCAATGGGAAGCAGCCAGGGCTTATTCCTAGTCATCTTAAAGATGATATAGAGAAACAGCGCTGTTCATTTTTCTGGTGAGTGAACTGAAGTCTACAGAAGGGAAATGACCAGCCCAAGACCACACAGCAAAAGAATAGTAGAGTCAGAAACAGAACAAAGTCCAGGCTTGATATTCACCCAGGTTCATCTCAACAGACAGTTCTGTTCATTGTTTCTCCAAGAAATAATATCACCTTGTATAAGGACTATAAGCACCAAGAAAGAATTGCAGGAGATAGCATCCTGTGTGACCCCTCTCTCTCTGAAAGCCAAGGAAAATGGCCAGGCCATCCCCTATGAGACCGTGCCATGGATTCTGGAGCCACACAACCATCCAAACTCTGTGGACCTGCCAAATTTCTCTCAAGTAGTAGGTTCTGTTTCACAAGGACCTACGAACACACAATTGGCAGAGCAGTTCACACCCACCAACCACGGGACCCCCATCCTGGCCACAGAGCTCAGGTCTGGCAGTCAGATATCAAAACACAAGGGGGGCTTGATTTCAGCAAGAACTGCTCTGCCATACTGCCGGGTGACCTCAGGGAAGTCCTTAACCTTCCTTGGCCTCATTTCCTTGTATGTTAAATGGGTTACTTAGTGAGGACATCATAAGACAGCACATGCATGTGTTTTAAATAGTGTTTGGCAATCAGTAAGTACTCACTTGTAATGATTAGTAGCTAGTATTCAATTAATTGTTAGGTTTTTTTCCCTTGGTACCCCTCTGCTTTTAACAACATTTGTTTTTAAAAGACGTATTCTTTAATGAAACAATTGAGAAAAAATTGGCACGTAAATCTATTAATGTAAGGGGTGGACACAGAACTGCACTGTACAGAGTCCCCTTCATGGAAAGGCTTGCTGACTGGCTGTCAGCGGACAGCCTCAGGTGCCAGCTGCTCTGGGTTTGTCCCAGTTGCAGAAAGCTGCCCAGCTCTGGGGCGCATCTTTCTAGTTACTATTTGAGGGGCCTAAGACTATGGATTGTCAGAGAGGGAGGCCTTGGGGTAACCTAAAGGGCTGGACATTTCAACTCCATGGCCAGAGTGCCCAGGGGCTTAGCCATGCACCACAGTTCAACTCCTGTCTCTGCTCAATCCTGCATCCTCTCCATTCCTTGGATAGATATAGATCCCTAAGAAATAAACATACACTAAACTCTCTCTCAGCCTCTGCTTCCAGAAAACCTTAACCTACAACAGTATCTATCCTTCTGATTATGGTTTTTAGAAATTCTGGCAGAATCATCACCCAATACATATATCTAGGAAAAGGAGTAACTCTCAGATACCATCACAAGCCATCACCAAGCAGATAGCATGGTGTAGTTAAGCACATGCTCACCTAGGACATGAGACTCCTAGGTTCAGTCCGGCTTAGCTACTAACCGGCTGGGTAGACACTGGGCAAGTTGCTGCCCTTCTCGGGGTCTCACCAAGTTTCATCACTTTTCCCAACTATAAAATGAAGGAATTGCAGGGATTGCACCTCTGACCCTATCCCTCCCAAACAATCTGTGCTTTTCTTCTGAGCCGGTAGCCTGGGGAGCACAGGGAGGAACCAGTGAGGCAGCCTTACTTTCAGGATGACCACCAGTAGGCCGGCGCTCACAAGCAGAGGGATGAGGCTGCTGATGAACCAGCTGAACCAGAGGATACCGTTGTCCAGGCCCATGATGCGCATGGTCTCCTTCAGCCGCGCCTCCTTCTCGTACACGATGCCCTTGATGATCACAGCCACTGAGTAGATCCAGGCCAGCGTCATGAAGAGAGGCATGGACCGGCTCATGACCCGCAGGAAGCTGGAAGGGCAGGGGAGGATTAAAGGCAAGAGTGAGCTAGGCTCCTGGGCCAGCAACTCTGGGGCTGCATGCAAGAGAAATCACCAGGACCAAGCCCGAGATGGGCAGACCTGTGCACCCTGACAGGAATGCTTTGTGAGTGGGGCAAAGCAGTGATTAAAAACTATTAACAAAGTGATGCCAAAGTTCTTTGAGGGCTTGCTTTAGTAACTAGATATCAGAGGTCATTAAGCTAAATGTGATTTTAAAGTACTAAAACAAAGCCAACAAAACCAAAAACCCAACTCATTGTCTCATGAAAGTTCAGCATCTTCAAGGTCATCTCATTATCAGCTTGCCTTGCACAACTGTTATAACAGATGGTGCAGAAACACACTTCGGGCAGTTCCTGTCAGTAACACTTCAGATTTCAGATTCCAAATGAGAAAATGAAATGCAGCGAAGTCAAAGGGACACAGAATCTAGACTCTGAAACTCAAGGTTCAAGTCTCAGCTTTACCACTTATGCATTTAGAGGGTATGTCACAACAGACATGTCCCCATCTTAATATGTTCTTTCTAGAGTAAAGCTTGGCTTAGGGGGGGTCTTGGAAAACTCTTCCTTTGGAAAATACTGACTAATCTTTCTGAAGGTGAAAAACAAGATAAACCCAGGTGACCTGGAAAAGCTAGAATGAACCCTGCAAGTAAAAGGGTGGTTCCATAAGAATCTGGGAGAAATACAAGGAGAGTAACCCAGTTACTTCTGCAGTCTGATCTCTACACACACACAAACACACACATACTCATTCTTATCCTCACCCTCACACAACAGAGAATGAAAGAGTTTCCAGAATTTGGAAGAGACATGACATACTTCAGATGCCTGCAATAACGACACCTCTGCCCATTCTTGCTCTCTCACAAGAAATCATGAGCCACAGAGCCATAGCCCCACTTGGAAGCACAGTGACTAAGCACTAAAAGGTTATCTAAAAAGTCTAAGATAAAATGGACTTGTTCAGTTTTATTTGCATTGTTTGAAAATGTGGTTTACCATTTACTGAGAAGGAGAAGAAAAATTGATGTGAAGTCAGCTTTCCAAGGTCCGTAACACTGTACCTCTGTATTTGGGGGACATGTGGATGTGTGAATGTATCTGGCATGTGCTCATCATGACACATTTTAAACTTGGAGATTGGGCCAATTTTGACCAAAAGGATAGGGTGTGAAAAATAAAAGTTCTAGTAACCGTAGACCAGAAAGGAGTGAGGATTACTGGTGTGTGGTATGTGTTGATGGATGCCTATGCCTCAAACTGTCAACTACCTACATCTAGCATCTTATTTCCTGAATCTCCACACAACTTCAAAAACAACTGTTTTGCAGTAGCCACAGTCTTGTTTTCACCAATTTTTTGACCAGTATCAACACATATGTAAATTTAACCACAGCATTCTGTTTCCTCTCTTGGCATGTGTGTGTGTGTGCATGCGTGTGTATGTACACACCCTACCTGGGGACAGTGCTAACCAGTGAAGTAAAGGTGGCAGCTTACTGGTAACTTACATGTCATCAACATAACAGGGGTAAGGCATCTGCTGCATGTACACGCCAGTTTTCTTCTCTGTGCCCGTCAGCACCCTGATGATTGCCTGCTCCACCACATCCTGCAAGTAAGCGAAGCCTCCCCAGACATACCGCATATCTTCAAAGGGGTCAGCCCGAGGACCAGGGTCCCAGTACCTTAAAACAAGCCACAGATGATTGAACATTCCTTAGAACCACACAACAAAAAATTCAATCACCCACAAGCCCACCACCACTACAGAGCCACTGTTTTTATTTCTGCATCGTACTTTGTGACCTCAGTATGATCTCATACTAAATTGCTTCAGTCTTGTCCGACTCTTAGGGATGCTATGGACTGTAGCCCACCAGGATCCACTGTCCATGGGATTCTCCAGGCAAGAGTACTGGAGTGGGTTGCCGTGCCCTCCTCTAGGAGATCTTCCCGACCCAGGGATTGAACCTGTGTCTCTTAATGTCTCCTGTACTGGCAAGAGGGTAATTTACCACTAGCGCCATCTGGGAAGCCCTCAGTGATGTGTATATGTTTTTAAATAGATACAGTCGGAATGAGCAAACCGCTTGTTGGCTTGGTTTTCTTCCATCCTCCATTGTTTCCTAACATTACTACAAGTGGACGTGTCAAAATTCACTTCATCATTTTTTATCTTGGTTATTTGCCCCCTTTTATAGAAATGGATACCATTAGCGCAGGGAACCTAGTGTCTTTTTCCCTCTTTCTTTGTTCCAGTTGATTTAATTCCTTCTGACTAATTCCCTTAAATGGAAATGCGAAAAGAAAAGACAAGGATATTTTATGACCTTTGAAACAGCTGTCTCCACCATGAATGTGCCAGTTACACCAAAATCATGCCACTGATTTATCTTTGTTTGAAATTCTTACAAAATCATTAAAGGACCTCCCATCACATTAGCTGCTCCTGGCTTCTCTAAGACTGGCTGGGACAACGTGATTCCACTTACCCGTCCTTGATCTTATTCGTCCTCTCCACATTGTCGATGTCCATCCGGATCTTGTACTTGACATGACGCGGTAACTCGACACTCCCGGGAGCGATTCCAGTGAACACGACGCCAGCCCAGAACTTGCGCTCATCCAAGAGTTCCATGGACTTGTTGATGAGCAGAACCTCCGTCGCTACTGGTTCTAGCTTGTTCAGGTTGACACACTAAAGGAAGAACAACCATCGTGAGCAGCTGACAGCCGGGAAAACGAGCAGCTGACGGCCAGGAAAATGAGCAGCGGCCAAGGCAGCGTCTACGCTAAGAGAGAAGCGCTAAGTGCGTGTCTTTTTTAATCCGCATCCTCTCACATCATTCTCCAATATCCCATTGACAATGGATTACTTGGGTTTTCACCTTAGCAATTTAAGAGAAATGTTGAATGTATTTTAGAGCCAAGTTACTCATACTGATTTTTGTGGAGGGAAAGGGATTTCAACAATGATCAGGCCTCATTTTCTTCTGTTTTCTTAGTAATTTTGAGTCATAACAACTAATCAAACAGACCAAAAAAAATTTCATGTGTCCCTAATTAAGTCACATCATTTTTAGGATTCAAATTTTTTAAATGTAATCAGTCCTATTAGATTTTACATAAGTTTCATAAGTAATGCTTTTTTAAGGGAATGCTTTGCTGCCATTAGGTAGCTGGATATCAAAACAGGAAAAACTAGAAGACAATGGATAGAGATATTCTTGAGTCAGACAGAATAAAGCTAGAAGTCAGGTCTGTTTCTGTCTGTCTGTCTCATTCATTCAACTAACATTTTTTTGAGTGCCTTTTCATACACCACCTGTATTTTTAAGTGTCTTTTCATACACAACATGTATTAGGTTGGAGGGATGCTACTGTAAATAAGACTACACAAAATTTCTAAACTTTACTCCAGTCTGAATCTTACTGCATCATCTCAGAGAAAGAAGCCAAAGCCTTTTCTAAATGGTCCATGGAATAGTTCCTCACCTCCATGAAACGAGAGATGGTCTGGATTGCCTGGTTGGTCTCATTGAAGGCTTCTCTCCAGGTGTACACGGAGCCATTGGGGGACTGCACATCCTCTGGGTGTTTGGCCAGAAATGCCATGATATCTTTGGCCTTCCAGTCTAAGCCTTCCAATTGCTGTTCCCAAAAGTCATCATTGGCTCTGCTGTCCAACAGTGTCTGCCATTCCAATGACAAAGTACAACTAAGTCTTGATGAGTGCTATATGATTTACAAAACCCTTTCACATACATTTTCATTTTTTTTATCTTTATAAAAACTGTTAGGTAGGTAACAGTGTTTCCATTTTACAAGTGAGACCACTGAGGCTGAAAAAAATAACTTTTTACCAAAGATGAGTCATACACTAATAGGCATGGAGTTGACCAGTCAATGTCAGTCCAGTATGAATCTAGTTTCCAGTACAGCTTAACAGTAAATGCTATTAACTACAGTAGTAACAATAATCATACTTATACTCTATACAATTACTGTTGGATTAAACACTTTACCTCATACAACTTCATAAGGAAGGTTTGTCTAATAGTTTCCATTTCACAGATGAGAAAACAGGTTGATAGAAGTCCCTAACCATAAGGTCACACAGCTAATAAGTAACAAAGCCAGGATATGAGACATGGGCTCTCAGATTCTATTGCACCTTCCCCCTGCATTATATCATCTTCTTCTTTTGAGACCCAGGCTGATAACTCCTCATAAAGACCCTAATTTCTAGACTGAATTAAGACAAACCTGTTTAGCTTAGGGAAAGAATGCTGCTGTTAAACCAAGTGAAACCTGATCTTTCCCAGTTACAGGATGCATGGGTCATGATGAAAAGGAGGCCTATCTTCCCTTTCTTTTCCCTTAGCTGGCTGGCTCTCCACATGGGTCAACATGGAAGAGCAGGAAAATCAATCAGGCACTCAACCAGGAGGTGCAGAAGACCAGGGCAGAGGCCTGCAAAGATACGCTGCCAGAAAAATGGGTCTGTTTCAACCTCAGCTCATGGAAAAGAGAATCAGCTACAACTCCTGTCATACCTTCAAGAAGGTAGATGAAACTCTGACTCTACTGAAATGGAATCTCTAAAGGTCAAACTCTGCTATTCTTAAAATTAGTCTCATTTCTACTAACATTATAAGCTTTTCCCCATGTGGCTTCATATTTATTATTTTAATGGGAGCATAATAGTTTTTACAGGGTATATAAACTATAATTTCATTAACTATTCCCATACTGTGAAACATTTAGTCTATTTCTAATTTTTCACAAAAAACAATTATTATAGCAATAACATTCTGTTTCGTAGGGTGTCTTCTTTCTTTAAAATTATTTCTGTATGGGATACATCCCTGAGGGTATGTGGAATGGAAGTACACGGGATAGCACACTTTTTATGGTTCTTACAATTTTCATTCCAAATTGCTTTCCTATAGGGAATAACAAGTTATATTGTCATCAGTTAGGATATGTATTTTTATTAACATAATAGATACAAAATGGTATCTCACAAAGGTGCACAGGGGAATGGGTTAGTGATTCTGAAATGATTTTATTTGAGACTTGAACTGAACAAATAAAATCTGAGTGAAGACATGCAGTATTTGAGGCGAGGTCTGCCCCACCCAGTGCAGCTTCTGAGCAATACAGCCAAGGAGAGCAGCAAGGCCTGAGAGATGTACCCAGTGGGATCACTGACTACATGATTCTAGGGCATGAAGATCGCCCTCAGGAGCAGTGTCCATGCAGAGGCTGAAGGTGAAGGAAACAAACAGCAGCTCAGAAAGAGCAGTTGAGTTTCAATGGGTTCCATGACTCAACAAAGAAATGTCTCTAGATCTGTGGGTGCCTCCGGATAGAACAGGTGCAGACAGAGCCAGACACAGCAGAAGATAAGAGCTATCACGGAGTAGAGGGGTGGTTGCCGGGGGGCTGGGGAAACACAGAGATCAAAGGGTATGACGTTCCCATTATTAGATCTGAGGATCTAATGTATAGCATGGTGACCATAGTTAATGATAGCATCCTGTACACTTGACACTTGTTAAGAGGTAACTAGGTGAAGGAAGGGACATGTTACTTAGCTCCAATGTGGTGATCATTTCACAGTGTACACATATATCAAAACACCAAGTTGTATACGTTAAATACATCCACTTTTAATTTGTCAATTGCACCTCAATAAAGTTGAAAAAAAAAAGAGCTACCCCAACAGAACCAGAAGTCTCAGGCACTGACTCATGTACCAAATGTGAGGCTGCAGGGGGTGCAGTGGACAGAAAAGTCCAAGCTTATAGAGCAAAATAAACACTCCTTAGTAGAGAAAAGAAAGCAGTTGGAGGAAGCTCCTTCGACTTCCACACACAGGCTGATGAGTCCCTAACTGGTGTCTCCAGCCTAACCAACCAGTTACACTCCAAGCCCTAGTATCCCCTGACTTGTTGGACATCCCTACCATCCATCGGCTAGAAATTAAGAATCACCCTGAAACTACCCTCTCTTTCACTCCTCCACAACCAATCAGTCTCCAGGTTTTACCCCACCAGTGAGCCTCTGCCCTGGTCTCTGCCTTCCATCTTTCCTCTCTTCAACTCACCTGTCAAACCAGAGTAATGTATACATTGCCAAAAACCCTTCCATGGGTTTGGTAATGGTGTGTGAGAGCTTCAAGTAAAAGTCCTTGGCTTGACACCCAAGGCCCTCTCTACCACACACTGTGCCTTTCTCCCCAGCCACAGCTCCTACATTTCCTATTGCACGTCCTGGGCTCTCCAGCAGTATTCCCAATGAATGCCATGGCCATGTTGACAAGGGTCTCATCCCACAAGAACTGACAGCCTGTGACCTGCTGGAGCATCCAAGTCAAACTCTCTATTTAAGAGCAGGGGAAGCATCTATCTGCCTACAAACTAAAATTGATGGAGTTCCTTCAATATGGCCCCTCATTACCCTCTGAGGCTCGGAAGGAGAGAAGTCCAACAAGAAGGAATGTAGATTCTAAGGAGAGGACCAGAAGAAGATGTCTGAGACCACAGCAAGATCTATGACACTGTTTGTGGCTGGACCACATGAATCTCTTTTGGAGGAGAAACTGGAGCCCAACAGAGACCATCTTTGAAGGGTATAAGTTGTTGTTGTTATTATTAGTCAGGAATTACTCAATGCTTCCCTGACTAAAGTCCCTTTGTTTTTAAAGCCTCCCAATTTAAGAATCAAATTGCAGGACCAGTGCAACAAAGATGACTCAGCTTTCCCATCACTGGAAGGCCCCCAGGGTATGGTCCCTCCTAGGGCATCTTGGGAGGGTCCTCAGCCTGTGAGAGTACCTCTCAGGGTAGATATACCACCCAAAACACCCAGCTGCCCTTCTGATCAATGACGTGTCAAGACAAGAAACCTGGCAAAATCCATCTGTGCTTCTTAATAGCAGCAGGAACAAAAGGAAGAGGCCTCTCTCACCATGGAGACAGGAAATAGTCTAATGATTCTCTGACTCAGCCCAAGGCAGGATGATGTGATTAAATAGCACTCAGACTCAAGCAAAGGAGACATTTCATTCTTGCTCAGACTCCTCTGCTTCTGAATCCAATTGTCTTTAGAGCACTTATCCCTTTTCAAGTGGTTCTGAAGCACTAAGTGAAATTCCCCGCCACGTAGTAACAGCGGCTCCTCACTCACACGGCGCCTCAGGGAGCAAGTATCTGTGATGAGTCTGCAGGTCAGAACAGGCTTTTGCTTGCACACCTCTGTCCAAGACCTACCAGGACCCAGGAGGGCTGAGTTAGGCACTGTGGCTCTACATCCAGAAAACAGTCAAGGTCTTGTAATCTTGTAATCTTCCTCCAAATACCAGTCCTAAGTTTCTTGGAACTCTGATTTTGACTGTCAGAAGCCTTGATGCTGACGTGCATGAGATGGTGTGATCTGTGCACCATCACCTGTACCTCTGCCAAATGACCGCCCTGCGGCTTGAGCAGTGCTCAGTCCCTCTGTACTGGGTTCAATGTAAATAACTCTCCTCTCAGTCTCTTCTTGGGAACTACAGAGCATCAAGCAGGCACACAGTAATCAGAGACACACTCACCCGGACAAGGTCCATTTCTGAGCTGCTCTCCATAAAGGTCCAGATCTTGGGGCTGAGCTCTTGCCACATGCCTTCTAGATCATGAAACACAGCCAGTTCCTGGAAGGTCTTATTCACCTGGAGTCAACCAGGAAGCCAGGAGCAGCAAAAAATAGAAGAGGGGCAGAGACACGAGAAACTCAGCTACTCCCTGAAAAGACACTCCATCACAGAAGCCCTTTTCCTGTCCTTCCCATCCCCAAGAAGTGCCTGTCTGCAGTGGGGATTCAAACACCCAAGACTGGAGAGCTGACCCTCAACAGTCAGCAGGGGCCTAGGTCAGACTAGAGGTCCTCATTCTTTGGAAATCCCAGAATAGTATACTCAATATACTCCATCTGAAGCCACCTTTATATTTTTGTTCTTAATCCTAGGAAGAGTCTGTTGAGGGCCTCTCGGGCCCAGGTGGCTTACCTCAGTCATAAGCTGCCTTGTGACTGGAGTGTCAGGTGTATACAGGATCTTTCCAACAAGCAGGGGCTTGAGAGCTTTCCATATGATGCGGGAAAGAGGACTGGACTCCAGATTCTTCATCAAATCATTGCAATAAGGAGCTGTGAAAAGAATGAAAGGCAAATATTTGTATGCATGGTCATACATTTGTAGAAACTAACAAAAGCTTTAGAACCAGCTCGTCAGTCATAGGTTTAAATCTCAGCCCTGCCACTTAATGGTTATGTAACAACTTCAAATTCATGCCTCAGTTGACTCCTCTGTAAAATTAAAGTTAATGACATCTACTTAGCAGAGATATGGAGAGGATTAACTGAGATGATATCGGTGGAGCCCCTAGAACAATGCTGGATAAATAATCAAAGTTTCTTTTAACACTGATGATGTCACAACTGAGACAATATAGAAAAATACTTTTTACCATGCTCAAGCCTAGAGTTGTAACTCTAGATGACTTAACTTCAGCCTTCAACACTTTGTTTCCACTGGAAACAGAAGGCTGAATTTCAGACTTTAGTTTTCAAGCAGAAATAGAAAATCTCCCTTCAATTACTAAGTCTCATAACAAGTACCTGTAATAAATGTAATGAATATCCCAAAGTGAAAAATCCAAAGTCATAATAGATAATAAGGTCTGATTATCCAGAAAGATTCCCAAATTTTTTAAAAATTTCACTCTGGGTTCTTTTAGATTCCAAGTATCCTCTACACCCTGCAAAGCTAATATTTAAAAACAAAAAAGAGGACTTGCTCACAGTTGTAGCTGTTGTGAAAATGAAGGCTCCCTCAGGTTGACTTACAAAGCGAGGGAGCAGAGGGGATGGCATTTCAGAAAACTGCCTACAGCACCCTTCCCTTCAGGCTCACAAAGCAACCTGCCACGGCTGGAGTGCTTCACTCCAGAGAAGAATAAAAGGTTCTTATGTTACAGTAACGCACTAAAAGCCACCTCACTCAGTGTCTGAAAGACACACCTGCAGTTAGAAACGGAGAAAGGCTTACTTGCATCATGTTTTCCAGGAAAACGATGCCACTGTCTACAGCTGTAACACCGGCTCCTCGCTGCCTCAGTCACACACATCCCCACAAAACTGCCCAAGCGTGGGGAGCAGATATGGTGTAACAAGGTTCTCTAATGACACCTTGTAGCTAAGAACTAAAAACAAACAGCAGATCAAATGCCCAAGTCTGAGGGCACACATGCCACCATGAACAGGTATTCTGGAGGTCATGTGTTTATGGGCAAAAAGCATGGAGCCAGGCAGACCTGGTTTAATCTGGGTTCTTGCGGATTAGCTACAGTGTGAATTTGACCAAGTCACTGAACCTCTCCAAGCCTATAAAATGTGGGGCTATAAAACCTTCCTTGCAAGGAATTCCCTGCCAGAGGTCAAGGTTCCATCCCTGGTTGGGGAACTAAGATCCCACAAGCTGTGGTCCCACACAGTCAAGAAAAGAAAAAACAAAAACAAAAAACCTTCCTTACAGGGTTACCATAAGGGTTAAATGAGTTAACTTTTAAAAAAAAATGCAAAGTACACAGGAAATGTTCCCTAAATGTTATCTTTCATTATTGTTGTTATTGTTAAGTTTTTATTATAAAGCACATCTCAAGGAGAGCAGGGGGAAAAGGAAAGGGAGACAGGGAGAATGAGAAGAACCTTGATCACTCTGGGAACCACCTTCAGACATACTCCAGAAAATGAGAGAGTGACAGTCAATCGTCCATTCACTTGATAAAAACACTGTATGCCTGGGACGTGCCAGGCCCCTCTCACACAAGTGGGGACAGTTCGCTGATGAGGAGAAGATTTGCTCCTCTAGGAGGTCTGTCTGGGTGGCAAACAGACATGTAAACAAATACCCAGCTGCTATGTAGGATGAGGGTAAGCACGAGAGAGGAGGCCCACAGGGCTGAGTCTGGGACGGAGGTGGCGCCAGGGCCCGGCTGTGTAGACACTCACATGAAGAGTTGTCGTAGAAGGTGCCAGCGTCGTCTTCCGTGCCGTTGCCCCCGAAGAGGGCTTTGTAGTTGTTGTCCTCGTACCAGTTCAGGGACTTGATCTTCAGGCCCCCGCCCTCGGGATGGCCGCAGATGATGCGGGACACAGCCTGGTAGATCTGGGTGGAGGAGCCGGAGTTGTTCACGTTGGTCAGAAACATCACCTCCTGCCGCATGTCACTCCAGCTCCTCATGCTGAACAGCTGGGGGAGGGAGCAGGTGGAAAAGGAAAAAGAGGGGGGAAGGTTGAAGACACAGGTTAGTTTCTTCACCTCTACAAAGCCTCATCCCAGAACGTAACTTGTCTGATGTCGCCTCTCAGAAGCCTTGTGATGGGGACCGCCAGAGCCACGCTACCCCTCTGTTGTTAGAGGGACTGGTATCATCTGAGAGACTGTTTGAGATGCAGATTCTGGTCTATCTAGAGTTCAAATACACTTTGTCACCAGGTGCCCAGGTGATTACCATACACATTAAAGACTGAAGTACAGCCTAGAAGTTGGTGGAGCCCCTGGTGAGGGGCTTTATCTCATTCAGATTATCATTGGGTTTACAGAAGAAGATGCTTTCCTTGAAGAATTATGTGTTCACATGTGTACATCAGCAACTGCTCACCTCCTCGGTCATGGCCTCATTTCTAAAACACCTCAAACTTCAGGGTGGAAACTGAGGTACCCTCTGCCCCTTGGCGGAGAAAGCACTGTGTGTGAAATCCCCACCCTCGTCTCAGCTAAGCGCCAGGCGCTGGGAAGGAGCACACGATGGGAGCTCAACTTGGAATCCCAGCCACATCCTGACTGGCTCACAACCTTCGGAAAGTCACCTCTCTGAGGGCCCCACTTCTGATCAAGACGATGAAGCTAAAACAGAACGTGGCGAGAACATCACACAGTATCTGCTCTCCGAGAGGGCCCTGCAAAGACCAGCCCCTGCCTGCAAGAGGCAGAGGCCGCAGGCAGCCGGGGGCTGAGTCTGGGACTTACATGAGACCAGCGCTTTGTCTCACACACAAATGTCCTCCAGCACCACGTGGACGTCTTGGCCCAGTGGCTCCTATGATTAACTATTCACCGAGCACTGTGTATTTCCACACGTTCCACAACACGTCATTAATATACCCTTCCATTCCTTGCCCTGTCACTGCGTGCCCAGGCTGAGGTGTGGCAGCGCAGGGAGGGGTTGTGGGACGCCACTCTTGCTCTGGAGGCAGTCTAGGCTCAGACTCCACGGCCCGGCTTTCTCTCTCACAGAGCCCGCTGATCCCTGTGAGTGAGAAGGTGCTGGGTGCCACAGACCCTGCCCCTGCCTTCAGCCTGCAAAGGGGAACCAGGTGCTCCGGGGGTGGTCAGAGGTCACAAAGACTCTCCGCTCCAGAGAGGGAGGCTTTGACACCCAGAAAACACAATTAGGTGGCCAGCTTTTCCCGACTTTATCTTCTGAGGTATACAGACAGGGAGGGGGATAGGCAGTCAGGCCCTCTTTCCTTTTGCTAGTGGGTGCAACAGCCCTAGAGTTTTTTGAAGGATAGCACAAAGGCCACTCACTTCTCTTTCTCGTCACCACCATCCTGCCATCTCCCGACCGAAAGGACAAATCTCTTCCCACAGAAAGTCAGCACATCATTGGATAGAAGCACTGTAAGCAACTGAGTTATTCCAAATTCTTGGCTCTTCCCAGAACCTGCCTTAGGGGCAGATTCCTACATGTTCTAACTTCAGCTCCTGCCCCAAACCTCCCCCATGAAGTGATTCCCACCACAGGGAAGGCAGCCACTCAGCCTCCAACCCACAGGTGGTGGCATCTGATCATCATCTATGGAGTGAATGAACTACTGAGGCTTTCTCAATCCACTGCCATGGCTTTCTCCTGCCCTTGCCCCATCACAGTCTCTTCTCAGCCTAACACTGGAATCGTAAACAACTCTCATCCTCAGTCACACCAGACACCCCTGATCCAGACCCACCAGTGGCCTCCCATCTTACTCCGTGTAAATGCAGCCTTACCAGGTCTGCATGGCACTCACCTTCTGCTCTAACCTCATCTCTGACTCCCCTCTCACTTGCTCTCTTTGTTCCAGCCACACCAGCCTCCTCCCTGGTCTTTACATCTCTTGATTATGCCCCACTTCAGTATCTGGATCTCTGGTTCCTCCTGCTTGCCGTGGAGGCCCTGCGGTCATTTCCTTCACGTTCAGATGTCACCTGACTAGACAGGACTCCATGAATCACCCTCTCCTTTAAAATACCACCTCATCCCTCTCCATCCCTCTTAAGCAGCTCCGTTTCCCTCCACTGCAGGCAGCCCTGCTGTCCCACTGTACATGGACCAGTCACGGCAGTCCCACAACAGAGAAGTGAGCGTGCTCACTGCAGAGTCCCTGGCACCCAGCTGCGCCAGGGTCCTGGCGGGTGTGGGCAGACAACCAAACGCTGCTCCCTACCCTGCCTCCCCAGGCTCACCTTCCAGAAGTGAGGCTCAAGCCCACTTTCACCCCTCTGGCTCTGAAAGTCCCCATTCCCTCACAACTGCCAGCCCTGTTAGTCCAGTTTCTTTCTCTGAATAGCCTCCTTCTGACTCTATTCCAGTTACCATGAGGGTTCGGACAAAAAGTGCTAAAGCTGCAAGAATGTGGGCTTTGGAGGCCAACCATCCTGGGTTCAGAACCCCAGTCTTGCCAATTAACCTACTAGGCGACTGTGGGTACATTGTCTGGCTTTTCTGAGCCTCAGCGTCACCGTGCAATAGGCACAGTAGGCCTCATCACATTTGTCATGTGGATCACACAAGGAAACCGGGGGAAGCTGCAGGGAACATGGCAGCTTACCTCCCTTTACCTTTCAAGGGTTGTGCTTCAGTCAAAACAACCAACTTTCTTTCCAAACACTGAACAGATCAACAAGTGCACTTATTTATTTATCTTCTCCCATTTGTCCCAAAGAAACTCTTAGATAATGAGTCACTGGTGGCAAAAGTGACTTGACTTTGACAAGTCAAAAACACTTGACTCAGTGTTCCACTGAGAGGGTGGGTGGCAGGACCAGGGGATAAGCAGGACTCAAGGAAGCAGCTGCCAAGAAAAATGTATATTGTTCAGCTGGAGCATTTCTACCATGTCAGCAACAGAGCATCACATGCTTTCAATTATTTTTTAACCCTAGACAAAAGGCAGGCCAGTGATGTAAGAGGAAACAGCTATTAACCAGACCCTGAGTTTAGAAGCAGCTTCAATGTTAGATCCCTGCTCTGCCTTTTCTAGGGCTGGCAGAGAGTACAGGCAGCTAACGGGACTCAACAGAGATGGCAATGGACTTGCAGGGCAGCTTCTGCTTCTCATGCTGCCTCCTGGAAGAACCCCAGGAGACCCAACTTCTCCACCTACAGAGAGGTCACCAGTGTTCATAACCAGAGTAACAGATGGCAGCCTGGAAGAGTGCTTCTCCTCCTGAAAGCCAGTCCTCTTCAATCAGGCATACAGCAGCAGGATTGGAAAAGAACAGAATCAAAAGTGACATACTAGGTAACATGTTGACAGAGCTGAATCAGTGCTTTCTGTACTTCCCGAACATTCTGCGTTTTCCTTTGTGACCATACAATACTTCATTCCTGCTGTTGTTGTTGTTCAGTCACTAAGTCATGTCCAACTCGTTGCGGCCCCATGAACTCCAGCATGCCAGGCTTTTCTGTCCATTACCATCTCCCTGAGTTTGCTCATACTCATGTCCATTGAATCAGTGATGTCATCCAACCATCTTATCCTCTGTCGCCCCCTTCTCCTGCTACCCTCAATCTTTCCCAGAATCAGGGTCTTTTCCAATGAGTCAGCTCTTTGCATCAGGTGGCCAAAGTATTTTAAGTATTTATTCATAGAAGACATAAAGTGAGCTTTGATATTTGAGAAAAATCATACAAACACCAAAAACTGAGTTAAAGAAGCAGTTCATAATAAGGCTGGACCAAGTCTGAGAAAATTTTGCCACAAATTATTCCCAATGTCTTATACATTAAGGCCTATGTGGTTTCTGACCATCACTCCCTGGCTCAGCTCTCAACACAATAGGCTCCAGACCGTTGGTTTCTCTTTTCCAAGTCTACTCTGAAACAAGGCTGAGTGTCAGAAAGGCAAGCACACGCTGACTGGGAGGCAGAGAAGTGCTTAACTGCTAATTTTGTAAGTCAGGCCCTCTGATCTTATGACAAAGGTGATTCTATTAAGTAGGAAGTTAGGTAATTCTAATACACTTGTAAACATGTGGACCCGAAAAGCAAACTCAACATTTATCAGGAGACTCTATTCCCAAAGTTGAACTCAGGGGCTATAAGTTCACAAGGCAAAGATCCAAATTAGGGGTACCAGGTTCTCCCCTTCAGTTAGTAAACAGACGTTCTGGTAAAAAGACTGTCCAGCTTTAATACTGAAGAAGAAATAAGGAGAGGTTGCTGTAAGACAAACACACTACATGGAGGATGAGGAGGAATCATCTCCTCTACTAATGAGTCATTAACTCAGAACCAAGAGTAACAATCGGAGAAAGTCCTAGGCTAGACATCAGGCCTTTAACTACTAGCTAACTAACCCTGAGACATCCACGAGTCTAGGTTTCTTCATCTTTAAAGTAAGGAGATCAAACCAAGTAATTTTAAGATCACAGATGCTTCTAAAGTTGATTTTATATTTTTTATGACATTCACATCAAATGGACTCTCTGAACCAAACTTAGGGTGTAAAAAAAGTCATAGTGGATGGTCTGCCCATTCGGACTGAAAAGATATGACTTACCTCTTGGGCCAGATTCCCAAGACTATCCAGCAAAGCTTTTGTGGCTTCAGCCAGCTCCTCGCTCGGGAAGAGGGATGTAGAGTTTAGTTTTGTCTGCAACGAGAAATAATGAAATAACTGTTTCTAAACTCAATGTAAACCTGAAATCTCTATTTAAAAATAAACAAGATGATTAAAACTATTCATAATCTTCAATTTGAAACACAAGAAACCCAATCCTAACCAAAATAAGACACTAAAATTATTCTAACTATATGTTTGTAGGTTATTCATCTCAGATAAGAATTACTAATTCTTTGATGAATGCTTTTAAATGATGTAGGAATATGTATTTCAAACTGGTTGATTACACAATAGATAAAAATGTCTGATGTATATGTGCCCAGTGTAAAGCTGACCATAAATTCCCAACTCTGTCTATGGTTTTGCTAGAAAGACAACATGGAAATGGCCTTGAGAAACAAATCTGTGATAGTTCACAAAAAAGGAAGAAAGGATAACTTTTAAAACTGCCAAAAGCATGGGAAGAAGGAATTCTTTTTTATTCCACTCAACTCAGCACTGTCTCTAACACTGGAAATTTACTTAACTTCTAAACAAACTTTTTTTAATATATTAAAATGTATTGTTTTCATGTATATTTAAAATTAATTTAAAATAATTTAAGAGTACCTGCTTTACGTTTAGTTTGAGCCAAATCACTATATTTACTCATTTACATACTGCTATTATATGCCACTTAGCTGCATAGCCAATATAAAAAAATAATTAATTTAAGCCCAAGGTAAGATAGGTTAGGAAAGAAGGTCTAAGCTAGAGAAGAAAAAGAAAAATGATGCACAGACTCTGAGGCCAGAATTGGTTCTGAAGTTTTCAGGCTTCCAAAGAAAAAATGATGCAGGGTCAGTTTCATCACTCTTGTTTGTCCAATAGGGAAAAAAAAAAATCTCAGGGAAAAGCCCATCTTTCTTTGGCAATTCTATAAGCATCATTTTGCTCAATATCAGATCCTTGGATATCTAGAGAAAACTGAACTATTTTAATACTTGTCTTATCTCAGAGATTGCTGTGAAATCCTATGGCAGATGACACAAAAGACAGCTGAAAGTATGAATAGATGGAGTTCATCATTAGCTCTGGGAAACAGCAGATGCAGAAGACTAAGTATCATGATCATCATAATATCCTAGCATAACCCCAAATGTTCCTTTCTGATAAAATCTGTCTAAAAGTTCTATGGATAATTTTGTCCAGCACAATTAGTGAGCTCTCCTACAACAGCTCACTCACCAGAGACCAGCCTTCCCACACTCCCAGTCCTCTGATGGGCCCAGGCTTTCATTTAAATGCCACACTCCAGTAGGTCTCTGTGACACAGCTCACAGGCTGTGTTAATGTTCATTCCTTCCATGAAGCAATCATGAGCAAAACCAGGAGGGGGGCTTTTTGTTTGCTTTGCCCTTCTCTCTTCAAGTTCACATTATACCTAAAGGCTACCACACTGAAAGTTAACCTACATAGAGACCGTGGTAAGGAAAACTTACAAACTGAGAGGTCTTAATTGGGAGACATAGGAGGTAAAAACTATTTCCTTTCACTTTGGGGGGCTTGGATATTACAAAATACGGAGAGGAGACTGATGTAAATCAGATTTAATATTACAAATTAATAAGGAAAGGTAGGCTATTCAGCCAGTGTTGCTGAGACAAGTAGTTACTCATCTAAGAGTAATTTTTCCATCTCACACCACTATGTGAAATTAAATTCTTGGTAGATTGAATAGCTAAAACTAAAAATGAAAGTTTAAAAGATATAGAGGAGAAAATGTATTTATGAACTTGGGGTAAGGAAGGTCTTCTTAAAATACAGAAGTCCAAATCAAAAATGGGAATTAAACTTCTGAAAGTAAAAACTATGTAGAAGACACCATCAACAAAGTGAAAAAATAAGCCAAAGACAAGAAGAATGGATTTTTAAAAAAAATTTTTGAGAATAAAAATGGAATACCAGGCATCAGTAAAAATTAACCAGATGCCACATTTATCAACATGCTGCTGCTGCTAAGTCACTTCAGTTGTGTCCGACTCTGTGCGACCCCATAGAGGGCAGCCCACTCCTCCATCCCTGGGATTCTCCAGGCAAGAACACTGGATTTATCAACATAGATAAATCTTAAAAACATAACATTGGGTGAAAAAGACAAGTTGCAGATCAACATGCACACATATACAATGTGAACACATGCAGACCAATACAGTATATTGTTATTAACCAAATGTGAGTCGGACACAACTGAGCGACTGAACTGAACTGAAGTGAGTATATATACAGTTGGATAAAAATGTGCAACTCCAGGATACCAGCTATCTTTGAGGAAAGAGGGGAATATACAGATGACAGCAACTATATCTGTAGTGTCTTATTTCTTGAAAGGAACTATTTCATAATTTTCTTTTTAATTCAAGGAAAAATAAGAAAAAAGGAAGAGGGAAGGAGATTGGCAGGAATGAAGGATAAGAATATAGGTTAGGTTGAAGACTTATCAGACTCGAAAGATGTCTAACTTCCTTGAACAAAATTAACCCCAGGCAATATGCCTTGAAACAAGGCCACACAATGAAGTCTGAGAACCAAGTGCCTGCACCAACTATGACCTGTGTCTCTTGCTCATATTTACTTGACAAAGGCAGACAGAGCTTACCAGTAGTATTTCCAAAGTGCTCCAGTAAGCCATTCACAGTTTGGAATTTCTATTACTACTTTTCCTAACCAAAAGCATTCCCTTGGCTATAAATTCATAGAGGTCCCCATTGAGCTCCCCCACACAGGAGGCGAGATTTTCTTGTATGAAGGAAAGCTGGGGAAAGGGGAAAAATTAAATCTTTAGTGAAGACTGTACATTCTGTGTTAAGCTAACAGGAATTCATGTATTATTCAATATTTTTAGATCATAACTAAATACTATACTATCATTATAAGAAGAACAGACAAACAAGTAAATTACTCAAAGCCCCTACCCATTTCTGTAATATGTGTTAATCACAACATTGCAACATTTCCTAAAACCATGACATTCTGGAGCACTGGCTCCATAATGACAAAAGCCATTATGCCATTCTTTCTGGGTCTAATAGATGACTTCTTTATATTCTTTTTTTCCTCCCTAAGATTTTCCTTCCACATGAATTCTCTTTTTCTTTTCTAAAATCGAGGTAACAATGGTTTATAACATTATGTTATATGAATTTCATGTGTTCAACATTATATTTCTATTTCTGTGTGTGCTACAGCATGTGCCCCACCAAAAATTTACTTTAAGTTGTAAAAGGCTGAAATTTTTTTTTAAAAAAAGGCAATAACTTATCAAAATCAATTTGATTTTAATTTCTGAGTTCGTGTTTTATTTCAACTCACTGTCCAGCACAGTTCCTGGCACATAATAACTAGGCACCCAAGAAATGTGGAAGAAAAGTAAAAAGCAAAGGCAAGAGCACATTAGGAGGGTGAGAAATGGACTGGTGTGAGTCCTGCTTCAAAGGTCACTCAAATTCACAAACATGGTCTGTTTCAGAGTCACCTCATCAAGTCACTCACATCTGTACCTGATGGTGGCTCCCCTTGCTCCCAGAATGAGGCCCAATAGCCTACAAAGGCTAAATGAACATTTCCCTCAGCACCTCTACAGTGTCATGTCTTAGCATTCCTCTCCCCATCAAATTCCCCATAGCTACCTCTGATCCACTCTGAACTACTCAATCATGCACACTTCCTCTAAATGCCACCTTCTCTTGCCTCTTTCCTCTGAGCCCCATGCATATATCATGTCCTCTGCATGGAAGATTCTCCTGTCTTTACCTGGCTAACCTCTATTCTTTAGGATCCAACTTAGAAGATGTTTCTTTCCTAATCCTCAAAGACCAGGTTAGGACACCCCATCAGAGGTCTCCTGATGCACAGGACCCAGCAGAGAGGCTATCGCTCTGAATAGCATCTCTTCCTTTCTTTTCCCTCCTCTCCCCAACAGCAGGAAACACACATCTATACCTTGTTTACCACTGCCTCCCTGACCCAGTGTGTGGGATTTGCTGAATAAAGGAAGTGTTTGTTTATAGATGATAGCTGTACAAAGGGACAAGTGGGAGGAGAGATGACTATTAATGCATCAGAAGTGGTAGCCAGATAGAAAGACAAGACAGAGCATCTGTGAAATTAAAATGTAATTGGAAATCCTTTTAAGTTTTAAAAAAATCTTATCCACACTCAAAATTTTGCAGGGACTCCCCTACTACAATGAGATGTGCTTGTACATATATTTAAATAGTATTCTCAATATAAAACACAATTTTGTTTTCTCCCTGCAAATGCATGTTTTAATGCGTTCATTGGTACATTTCAAACTTCCCTGAAATATTCTCATAAAGCAGACTACAGTCTCTGCTTCACTTTGCCCATATTCAGAAAAGCCAACTCAGGGCTAGGATTTATGTTTTACTTCAAATTGAAAATAAGTAAGCCACATACCAGGTAGAAAGACTATCATCACCCAAAACAATTACTGTCTCTTTGCAGTCATTTACATGACAATAAAAATTGTCCTTTGAGGAACATTTTAATAATTCTTATTGAAGTGGGGAATTATAACTCACGTCTAAGGACAGTACTACTTTTAAAAGCAATTCAACTTAAATATTAAATTTTAAATTATATGTGATTAATGCATTAAAATATTTCATTTTTGCTATTTCTAGACAAAGTTAAATACACCTACTACCACATAATTCAGGATCAAAAATCAAGCCTTTATCTTAGACATAGCAAGAAAGAAATTATACTATTTCAAGTAAACTAATTATACTATTTCAAGGAAAAAATAGCATATTTGAGGCAAAAACATCTGTCTAGATGGAGCTGAGTCATCATATTAACACACTGCTTAGTTCAGTAATTTATCCTCAGTCCTGTGCTTCCCCTGTTCTCCCAGGAATTAGATGAACAGAGTCTAAAAGAGTAAATCCCTGAGACGTGTCATTCTACAATTTATCAATGATAGCAATTGCAATTGCTTGTCAGGCAAAAGCACATGTTGTAAACAGGTGGGCAGTAAAATTATACAAAACCAAACAAAACCTGATACTTCCCCTAAGAGTCTCTGTTCCAGGCAAGAGGAGAGGGAAAACCAAGTGTTTTCTCCTGCAAAACACTGTAGGTACAAAACACCTACACAAATGCTTCAAAGACTGCATGTGACAGACTGAGAAATATCTAATCCCCAAAAGCTATGAGCCAAGCTGAGTCCTTATCAAAGGGTCAAGAAGACGCTAAACAAAGACCCTGCAAGACAAGAATACTGTTCACTCCTCTTCTGCCTGCTCCTTCCATCCCTGCCCAGTCCAGCTGTGAGCTCACTAGTCCTCTGGGCACTTCAGGGCACCACTCACCTTACCTCCTTTGTCCCATGAACAGAGTTCCACCTTTGCAAGAGCAGACTACACACATCAGAAGATACAGAAACAGAACACTTTGCTCCATGGAGACAGAACTTTCTGTTTTCAGGTAAAGGTACCACCAGAAGTCAAGACAATCTAGTTACACGGTTGTGCAGTGTCTAAGTTGTTACTGAAATAAAGGTCAGTCTGTATGCCTGTCCTTGCAAACTCAAATCAGACACCGTTTCCCTAGCCAAAAGGACCAGACACCATCTTCACATCACTGAGAAAGGACTAGAGCCCAATTCTACTTAACCACACAGGCTTTCACTGGGGATCACAGTGTCCCATGCTGAACAAGACTGTTGCCAGGGAGCTGCCGGGAAGGGCAGCCCTCACTTTACAGAATCCAGAACCTGTGAAGAATTCCTCACATTCCCAATCCCAATCTTAAAGTCCATTCTCAGTGTCCACTGGAATGAAAGTACCATGTGGACGTAGTCTTGCCTTGTTCACGGCTGAAACTTCAGTGCCTTCAATCAGTAACTGGTACAAAGCAGACAGACAGTAAATATGTGTTAGTTTTGTTGATGAATTATCTCATGCCTTGTTTAGAGATGCTCTGCTTCCCAAAGTTACTGCTCTATTTGGTTATGCACGACAAACTTTAATGGGTAGTGTTTACTGTGCTTCAGAGTCACTCTCAGAATACAAGCAAGAGAGTACACAGGGCTGGAATAGGACTAATAAAAAAAGCCAAGGGCACTGAAGAAACACTTCAAAGACTTAATGAAATAGTGTTCCAATGTACGTTCCAATCCAAAGGCAGTTATGGCAGAATGAGCACTCTCCCTGAAGCTGTCCACATGCTAATCTCTGGAATATGTCAATCGATTGTATCATATGACAAAATACACTTTCAGTTCAGTTCAGTCATTCAGTAGTGTCCGACTCTTTGTGACCCCATGGACTCCAGGCTTCCCTGTCCCTCACCAACTCCCAGAGCTTGCTCAAACTCACGTCCATTAAGTCGGTGATGCCATCCAACCATCTCATCCTGTCATCCCCTTCTGCCTCCCACCTTCGATCTTGCCTAGCATCAGGTCTTTTCCAGTGAGTCAGTTCTTTGCATCAGGTGGCCAGCACATTGGAATTTCAGCTTCTGCATCAGTCCTTCCAATGAATATTCAAGACTGATTTCCCTTAGGATTGACTAGTTTGATCTCCTTGCAGTCCAAGGGACTCTCAAGAGTCTTCTCTAACACCACAGTTCAAAAGCATCAATTCTTCAATGATCAGTTTTCTTTGCAGTCCAACTCTCACATCCATCCACACATAACTGGAAAAACCATAGCTTTGACTAGATAGACTTTGTCAGCAAAGTAATGTCTCTGCTTTTTCATATGCTGTCTAGGTTTGTCATAGATTTTCTTTCAAGGAACAAGCATCTTTTAATTTCATGGCTGCAGTCACCATCTGCAGTGATTTTGGAGCCCCCAAAAATAAAGTCTCTCATTGTTTCCCCATCTATTTGCCATGAAGTGATGAGACCAGATGCCATGATCTTCATTTTTTGAATGTTGAGTTTTAAGCCAACTTTTTCACTCTCCTCTTTCACTTTTATCAAGAGGCTCTTTAGTTCTTCTTCACTTTCTGCCATAAGAGTGGTATCCAGATATAAAAAGTAATGAACATTAATGACTGATTCCTACCACTGATTTATAGAAGAAAATGTCGATGTTACCAGCCACTGTTTTCAAGCACATAATTTATATTATTCACATAAATTAAATTATTAACTTCTTTTTATTGAGCATCTAATGTGTACTAGCCCTATGCCAGGCTCTTCATATATGTGAGCAATAATTACAGCAAAGGGCAAACTACATTATCACTATGTGAAAAAATAGGAAACTGAGGCTTAATTCATCTAAGGTAACACAACTGGTAAAATGCTGAGGCAGTATTTGAACCCAGAAACAGCTGACCCCAAGCCTACATCCTTTATACCCTGCCACACTTCCCCACTGTTGTCAAAATACTGTGGTCCAAGTGGTCACCAGGGGACTGAAGGACATCCAGGAGAAAGAATCAGAATAGCTTGGTTGAAAAACAGAGAAAGAGCCACACCAAAAAACACAGAGAGAGAGCAGAAATGTTTCAAAGCATGTCTCTCCTCAAAATTCACTTTTGGTGCAGAAATACATACTGACAGAACAGTTTGTCTCTCTCCCACCCCCTAATATTGGTTGCTGCCCCTATTGTATTACTTGGCACAATTAACTGCCTGTGTACAAGGAAGTCTCACAGCACACCCATCTACCATCACCAGTATCAAAATTCCAACCAAGTGACAGAACCAAAAGGCTGCTTAGTATAAATCGAATATCAATCCCAGTGCTCCAATTAAGGCATTGCTATAATAGTCACATTTCAAAATGTTTGGAAGTCATTTCATCCCAACGGTATCCACTAAAACATCTTTACACAGAGCCATCCTGGCCACTCACCATGTTCTAATTCAAAAGCCCCATTTTCTGATTTTAGGAAGAGAGATCTCACAATAACAGCTGACAGGCAGAAGCAGAACCTGAGATGCTCCTATGCCCAAGAGATGTGCAGGAAGCATATGGCAGCCACCCTAATCAACACCTGCCGTGAACCAACTGGTCTACAAGGCTCCACCACAACACGACAGGATGGGTTGTGAAGCTGACAGTTCTGACAGTACATTTCCACACTCCCAATCACACTAATTTTCCCAACTAGGGAGAGATTTTTCAAGTCATATCCTAAACTGTTGACTGTCAGATTATGAAGGCTTTGCTGTCTTTCTACTTAGAGCATAATTCAGAAATTACATAATTGGAGGGATTTTACTGGGCTGTGCACACAATAGGTGTTTAATGAGTAAACAGAAATGAAACGATGAATGGGCACCAGAATAAATTTATTCTGTCTTCTAAAAACACCCATCTTTCCAAAGCTCAAAACATCCCAGCTGAAAGGGTGAACATTTCTGTCTTGTAGTGAAGCAAAGCAAAACAACCAAAATAGTCCAAGGAAATGGGCTAGTATTTGCAACAACCTTTGACTCTGACTCACGATGCAGAAAGAGCCAGCAGGCTGCAAGTGTCTTCACAGGTGAGCTTATCTGACTATTTAGGCCAGTTATCTAGGGCTGCAAACATCTCTGGAAATTATACTACAGAATCACAGACCACTGGGAAAAAAAAAAAACTCAATACATTTTTTAAACACTGAACTAGAAAATACTATTTCTGGAAGAGAACAAAAACAGATCTTAAGCATTGGGGCTAAGCCCTTCACAGTGATGGGGGCCACAATAAAACCTGCTGTGGAAGCAGCAGAATTCAGTTTTACTACTACCTTCACTTCAGGCAGAAGCTGTTAGCGCCAGAGAATCAAGCAGGATGCAAGGGGTCTTCGATGGTCAGTCAAGAGCGTAAACTCTGGGATGTGTTTCTAAGGAACATTCTAGGAGATGATCCAGGTACAGGGTCTAGAAACCGAAACTTCTTAGGACCTCAGGAGGGCCCATCTTTCTCTAGAGAAATCATGGTGTGCCAGAAGTTTCCAGAAGTCCCAGGAGTTTCCAATGTCTTTCTATTATAATGAGGAACATCTCTTTGAAGACATGTTCTTCCAGGGCTTTTCCCCTGGTTTTCAAAGAACCTACTGACAATCAGGGAGCTGTCTGGTAAACAGGAAACCTGAACGCTGGATGGATGCTAAAGCATGTTGTTCACAAGGCATTTCACCAGAGCTCCCAGAAATCCTAAAAAAAGATACTTATTCTGGAACTAGACACAGCGCTGACAACCAGGATGCTCAGACTTAGCCCTATTCTTGGATTAGAAATGAATGCATAGTCTCATGGACTGCTTCTTTGAACAAGTGATTCCCAACTGATGATCAGACTTTGTTGGTATTTTTTAACCTCTGAAAGCAATTTTGTCATTTTTTAAGTTAATTATTGCATGTGCTCCCATTCAATCCCAGGGTTTTCCCACTGAGACATCTCAGTGTTTCCTTTCCGATAGGCTTTTTAAAATGGACACTCATCTTCCCATTAATGGTTTTGAGACTTTTTTTTTAATCTAGAAAACTCCTTCTTCAAATGAACCCTTACAACATTAAAAACCATTAAAAAGTAGGTCTTCTCTGAAACAGGCACAAGGGACCTCAGACTTGGATTCAGAGCCACACCCAACTCATTCTTTCCTTACTGACTCTTGGGCAGATGGCTCAGAATTTGAAAGGAATACCACTGAGCCAATCACATCTCTAACTCCCAGCAAGCCCTATGTTTCTACGAAAACAAAGTCATGCTGTCCAGGGAAAAATGTCACATTCGAAAAGCATTAGTACTCAAAGCTTCCTTACACAGCAAGCCTACTCACCAGGATTGGCTTCAGGATATCCAGGTTGGAACGAAGCACCTGCTCTGCTGCGTTCAATTTCTCCCTCGGCAGGCTGCAAAGCCTGGAAACTTCTTGGTCACCAAGTCGAATCACCTCTCCCAATTTTGATCCGTTGCAGAGATTGGTCAAATGTAACTGGTAGCCTTGCAAAAATACCTATAAACATTTCATGCAAAGACAGAGAAGTAAAACTGGATTACAAAGATGGGAAGCAGGGCCTCTTGGGGGAACTTCGTATCAATATCGCTTTGAGGAATGGACACTACTAGACCCTGTCCAGAACACTGGGTCTCTACTGAACTTCAAGATGAAGCAAGGCATGATGCTACAGGACATTTAAAACCAGAATGAGGCATTTGACTCATCACCTCCATACTCCTCTCCTTGTGAAGGGAAATCCTGAGTCCAACCCTTTTTCTCAAAAGTGGGACACACGACTCAGCAAATAGGAATCTGGAGTCCGAACTCCTCAAACCACTCTTATTAGAGAAAATAGAAAGTTCTCATTATTTTGAAATAAATGATATTTTAAACTGGGCTAAATTGTGGGGGGAAATGTATTTATACTATTTATTTGTACATAAAGATATATAACTAATGCAAATAACTATGTTCAAACAATTTCAGAATATGGAACTCTTCCTTTTACTTGTATCGAAGCAGAGTACTAGAAAGTCAAGCCTCTTATCTCACTGACAAATAAGAATGACTTAGAACTGACTGGTCTATACATTATAGCAAAGAACTTCTGATTGGCCATATCATGTAACTAGCTTTACTGGACCTAAATAAACACTTCTTCACATATGGCCCTTACTGTCCACTAGGCAAAAGTTCAATAAGATGAGAGACCTTGTTTTTTCATGTTCCTTTTGTGTCCTCAGTGCTAGAACATGTGGACAATAAATATTTGTGGAACAAATGAACGAACAATTCAGACTCTATTACTCTGTTACAACAATCTGTTTGTTTCAATTAAGGCAGCCTGACCTGCTCGTACAACCTCATGGGAATGATGGACCAGAAGGTTCTCAAGACCCATGCAGCTTTCTAACACTACAGAGCACTTGGTCTATCACGGTTTCCATTAAGTTTACACCTGCTACCAGATACGCAAGTACACTTTGCTTTTCCTCCTTTCTCAACTAGCCCTTGCTGCCATCCGACCTTTAGTATTTAAGACAGTGACAACAGTGACTACAGAGACTAACTACCTTGCAAGGACCACTTCCATATTTAGGATGCCCCTTATTTTAAACTGGTGGGATGTGACAGATAAGAAATTGGCAGGGGGCAAAGGAAATCATGCTAATGATTTTTATAAGCCTGCTGCCTTTGGCCCATCTCCCAACCACACAATTGGTAAACACAGGCATATTTTCCTAGTTTCATAAGGGCAAGCAGTAAGAACATTTTTCTAATTTTAAAAATTCTATATCATGTAAAGCAAAGAGTTTATTTTGGGGCATAAACAGTTCCACTACTTCTGCTTATGGCAAAGTCAAGCTAGTATGCAAACATGAGACAGGGTAAGGAAGCAGTTCCCCTTTCTGCCAGAGAATAAACTTGAGAAGATCCTCTGGAAATCAATAACTATGCAATCTGGGCTTGCTGCCCACTGCATAGGAGCCGTATGATAATTACCAGAGGAAGGTTTTTTAAAATCTAAGGTTAAAATTTTACATAAACACTAATATTACTTCCTGATTTTATAAGTTTTTAAAAAATTAAGCATTTTCTCCTTGATATTAGATATCTTTCCATTTATTTTTTTTACTTATTTAATTTTAAATAGTTTTATTTATTTCTTTTTATTTAATTTCTGTTTATTTACTTATTAATTTCTATCCTATATTTTCTAGATATCTTTCTCATCTATCTTTAAAAGAAACATTACAAATAGATAGCCAGTGGGGATTTGCTATTCTGATGCAGGGAGCTCAAATCTGGTGCTCTGTGGCAATACAGAGGGGTGGGAAGGAGTGGGAGATAGGAAGGAGGTTCAAGAGGGAGGGGGCATATGTATACCTATGGTGGATTTATGTTGATACATGGCAGAAACCAACACAATATTGTAAACAGTTATCCTCCAATTAAAAAGAAATAAATTTAAAATTTAAAAAAGAAAGTACTACATTTTAAAAATATGTGGATTTTATAGACAAGAGATATTTTAGGTAACAATCCTCAACCCAAGTTATTGTTTCAGAACTGTGAGTTGGTTTTTTTTTTTAATGTTTAATTCATCTCAAATTCATCTCCCCTTTAGGAAGACGTTATCAACACATGCCTGGGCTTCCCTTGTGGCTCAGCTGGTGAAGAATTCGCCTGCAGGAGACCTGGGTTCAATCCCTGGGTTGGGAAGATCCCGTGGAGAAGGGAAAGGCTACCCACTCCAGTATTCTGGCCTAGAGAATTCCACGGACTGTACAGTCCATGGGGTCTCAAAGAGTCGGACACGACTGAGCGACTTTCACAAACAAAATAAAAAAACAAAACCAACACATGCCAATTGACAGGCAGGAAATCAGTTTTATTTCAACCAGTTGGCCCATGATGCGAGGTTGCACCTTCCACTCTGGATGCTGTGGCAGGGTCAGCCTGGGCAGGGAAGTAAAAATAGACAACGCTGCATTGGAGGCACCAACCTCGTTCAGCACCGTTACAAAGACAGGAGTTTATTCATTTCCTTCCAGGTGCTCTCGTGTAATGTCATTGCATGAGCCCCACCAGGGAAGGTGAAGATCACAGCTTACCTTGCGGAGACTGACATCAGCCCCCAGCATCTTGTCCACAGTTGGCCTTGGCAGAGAGAGGTTGAGATGCAGGAATTCAGAGAAGGTTTCATTGTCTACCAGGAAGTCCTGAAGTTTCAAGCCTGCGGGAGAAATAGTGTTTCATTTTCATTTCATGAGTAACTAAAAAGAAAAAAAAAAAAAAAGCACAATGGAGCAAAATATCCTAATATTGATTACCTCATTTTAAACCAATTGAGCACATAGAGAAATGAGGTTCAGGGAATTTTGCCTTAACAGCAGAGACGTGAAAAGATTGCTTTCTGAAGCTGTGAAGTATGACAATGCTGTACACACACACACACACACACACACATAGCCTTTTCTCGCTTTTCCAAGAGTAAGTAAACAAATCTGAGATTTGTGACCCTGACCCCACAGCTCCTATCTACCCCACTGCCATCTCAGGCAGCTAAACTCAGAGATATTTAAAACATTATTCCCACAAGCCCCAAGGGCTGGTTTCTTCTTGATGCAAAACAGTGGTTCTGAAACTTGAAGAGGCATCAGAATCACCTGCGGGGCTTGTGAAAACTGGTCCCCTACCCCCCAGAGTTTCTGATTCAGCGGCCTGAGGTGAGGCTGGATAATCTGCATTTCTAACAAGCTTCCAGGTGATGCTGTCACCCCCTGGTCTGGGGCCCACCCTTAGAGAACCATGGGTGCAGAGCATTATGCATATCAAGGTGCTTTCACAGGCCTGGTCTCCTTTCAATTCCAGACCTGGAACATGTGATACAGAGCTCCCACACCCAGGCCGGCCCCTGCTTTAAGAAAATTCGCATGCATACATTAAAAAAAATCAACACTAGTAAATGATTGCATTGCTGCAGGGTTTCCTACAGAATCACTTTAAATAATAAAGCCTCCACCTTTACAGAAAAGGTTCCAATCCAGTGTAGTGAAGCAGAAAAAGCACTATCCAGAAATCCAATTTTAGTCCCTAGAGTTGGAGGCTGTGCCTAAGTGGTATCACTTGGATATTTCATATCATCTTTCCGAATTTCAGCTTCTTTATCTCCAAACTGTGAGGGGATCAGATGCTTCGCGGGTCCCCCTTACTGAAATGCTCTCATTTTCTCTGCCATATTTCATTTGAGTGTCCACTTCTCCTTCTGCCCCTCTCTCATAACAACCCAACTTCATTCATAAAGAGAAGGCCGGCTCATCAAGACATCACTGAGGGACTGCAGCCCACAGGCCCTGGCATGAACCGACCTCTAGGGGGCAAACCTAGCAAACCCAAATCACTTAACTGACGAGAAACAGATGCCTGATCAGAAAACAGGGCTGTGAGGTGAGGCTTAAAAAGAGGACAGGAGTTAATCCTGGGAGCTAAGGGGGTGATGTGCAGAGATAAAGTAGAAGGAGGTCTCAAAATCCAGCCAGACTCTCATCAGTGCTGTCTGATTCAGGCATGTTCTGCTAAAGTAAACTTCTAATAATCTCAGTTGGTAAAGAATCTGCCTGCAACGCAAGAGACACGGGTTCAATCCCTGGGTCCGGAAGATCCCCTGGAGAAAGAACTGGTAACCCATTCCAGTACTGTGCTGGGAAATCCCATGGACAGAGGAGCCTGGTGGGCTACAGTCCATGGGGTTACAAGAGTTGGGCACGATTTAGCAACTAAAGCACCACCACAGAAAGGTACAGAGCCTGACTCACATCTCTAGAGAAACAGTTCTCTGGCTACACCTTATTTGGCTAACTCCCAGTTATTCCCCATGACACATTTTAAGAAGTGGTCCTGGCTGAGTGAGTGTCCCTCTTGAGAAAAGGTGCTCCTGCAGGCTGCCACCTGCCTGGTGCTCCCCATCACATATGATACTGCCTTCTCACGATCGCATTCACTTCTGTAGCTGCCAAACCTCAGAGCATTGAAGATTCACCTAGGGACATGCTAAAATGTAATTTCTTGGGCTGGATTCCCGGAGATCCAGAAATAGTAGCTCTAGAGTGGGGCCTAAGAATCTACATTTTAATAAGCATCTTCTGTATTTCTAATGCAAGGGTTCTGAGGACCATCCTTTTAGGGCTGTTGTTTTATTTGCATATTATCTCCCCTAGACTATGCCTCTGGGACACAGAATTTATCTTTTATCCTTGCATCCCAGTGCCCAGATCAGGCAAAGAATTACTGACCAATGAATGATGACTGGAAAATAATTACCAGGAGATGGGATCAGGGCTGGGAAGATTTCAGAAGCATCTGAGGAGCATCAAAGAAGATTTCCTTTCAGCTGTACAGGTCCAAGAATGGCTCGCAGATATTGGGGCGACTCCCAGGCTGCACCCCAAGAGTAAACAGGACCCCTGGTCACTAGAACTGCATTCCCAGAGACACAAAGTGACACCCTCGGCATCCCAGTAGCCCAAAGGCAGGGGTAAACAGGAAGAAGACAGGAAAGTTAGTGGCTTCAACTGCAGTCTGACCTGGAAAGCCTGACAATGACTGTATGGAACAATGAAAAAAGTCCCACACTGAGGGGTGAGAAAACCTGGGTTCTGCATCCATGTACTTGCCAGGTCATCTCACCTAGCTGTGTCTCCACTGCCTCATCTGTAAAGAGAGGGGTGAAAAAAAAAAAAAACTTCCCTGAGACCCAGGCAGAACAGAATATGCACATGAGCTAACCTGGTCTGTGACCAGGCAGGCCACTCCTGAGAGTGAAAAGCCACAGCAGGAATCAACACTGTGCTAGGCAAATTCAGAATAACCTCCTCCCTCCAGAGTAAGGCTGCTGAAAGGTGGAAGGCTGACCCCACTGCACATGCGATGGGTCTAGGTCACAAGCAACATGCTTTAGTCAAAGGAGCATGCGCAGTGTGTTTACGTGACGTTTCAGTTAAGTCAACAGGCTCTGCTGATGAGAACCTCTGGATGTGATCAAACCCCAACCACCTCTCAGTGAATCCTCTGGATGACCCAGGAGAGCCAAGAGGCTGATTACACAGTCAACGACCTTTGGCAGGGCACGTGCACAGGGTGGTGAGGCAGCCATGCGGTGCGGGGTGGCAGCAGGGAATGCCAAAGATCCCTGGCTACGAAGAACCTGCATTCTGGTCACATGGACACCACACACGTGGATTCAGATTTACATGCCACGAACACCAAGCTGCAGGCAGCATGGGCGCAGGAAGGCAGTGCGGAGCACGCTGGTTCTCAACCTCAGCTCCCGTGATACTCCTGAGGGGGCTTTATAAAAATCCCAAAGCCCAGGCCACACCCCCTAACAACTTCTGCGTGATCAGAACTTCTGGTGCTAAGACACAGGCATCAGAATTTTATGAAATTCCACCATGATGATTGCAGTCAAGTTTGGGAAACATTAGTGAAATGAAAAGTTCAGGGGTATAGGGACAGAATAACTTAACTTTGATGCTGGACTCTGCTGTTTATGAATTGCATGGCTTTTAGAAATTCATTTTGCCTTCCTAAGTCCAAGACTTCTGACCTAGGAGGTAAGGGTAACAGTACCCACTTTTCAAAGGTATGAGGATTAAAGAGATTTGCATGTAATGCATGAATGCTTGCCAGGTGGCTCAGTATAGGAGCCTGCAATATAGGAGACCTGGGTTTGATCCTTGGGTTGGGAGGATTCCCTGGAGGAGAACATGGCAACCCACTCCAGTATTCCTGCCTGGAGAATCCCCATGGACAGAGGAGCCTGGAGGGCTACAGCCCATGAGGTCACAAAGAGTCGGACACGACTGAGTGACTTTCACTGACACTAGCCAATGCATGGATAGTGAGCAGGGGGTTCATGGTAGTTGCTCAAAAAATGATAACAATTTTGGGATTATTGAGAAAGGTTTACCTCACTCACCTTGACCAGTGTACCACAATGATGTATAGAGAAAAGGTAGGGACACAGACACTTCCCTCAAGGAACTTCCAAGGATGACAAGGGTGATGAAGAGGCAAATCAATAGAAAAAGCAGAGCGAGGATGACAGAGCCAAAGGAAGGCAATTCATGGAAGCATTTGACCCAGATGAGCCTTATCTGTTTCAAGGGGGGAATCAGGCTGAACAGACTGAAGCCAGGTTCTGGAAAGGAACAGAGAGCCAGAAATCTCCAGAGGCTGTGGCTGATGAGGAGAGGGTAAGGAAGACCTCCCAGTGATGCAGGGACCAGGGCACCCTGTAGACATAGTGCTATGTACACATGGTTCTCAATGTTTCTGAGTGAATAAACAAACACACAAGCAGATAAGCATAGAAGAGCTGCCTCAGAACCTAAGATCTGGGGAGCAGGATGGGCAAAGGAAGAGGACGAGGTACAATGTGAGGCCAGAGGAGGGTGATTTTGTACCTGTGGTCTCCAGTTTTCTCCATTTTTTTTTCTTGGCAGGAAAATGAGTGGAGAAGCCATAATATCAAGAAAGCCTGATATCTGAAATGGCCCTTCTCCTCTTGCCCTGGCTAACTCGGACCCTTCTTTAAGATTTGGGCCATGAGTCATCTCCTCCAGGAAGCCTGTCCTGACATGACGCCCTCCAGCTGGCTCAGGTGGCCATTCCCCCATACCCCAATAGCCTCCTATGTGTGCTTCCCCCGAGCTACAGTTGTCTGAGACCACATCATTTTCTCCAGAAGAACAGAAGTGCTCAAGGGCCAGGACTTACTCAAAAGGACAGCGGTGCCTGGCACTGAGGAGGCATCCCATCAGTGGCGGATGATAAAGGAGTGGATGAACACATATGAGTGAATCAAGTAATGAATTGAGATGACCTGCTGTGGGTAGCGAAGGGTGAAACAGGATATGAGTGTGAGACAAACTAGGTCAAGATAGTGCTAGAGTTTTTCTAACCTCCTCAGCTGTATCAGCCCAGCGTCAGGAGGGCAGTCAGGCATGTGGGAGCTGGAAGCAGGGCCTGAGAAGTGTCCATAACAGGATAAATGAGGATGACGAGCATCTACCTCACTGCACTGAGCTGAGGGTTAAAAGAGAAATGTACCTGAAGTCCCAGCACAAGGCCTAGAACCAAGAAAAGTCCTCAATAAAGATGGTTAATACCGTCATCACTTTCAGGAAAGACACCTCATTAGCTTCAATGCTAGTCTGATCCTAAAGTATATGC